TATATATTATCAATGGAAATAATTTGTAATTATTAAATAACGAGAAAACTCCTAATTGTTATGTTAAATGTATAGAACTTAATACTTAAACATAAATAGAATTTTAAAAAAATAATCCTTAATGGAATTTTTATTTCGAAAAATGTGTTTTTGGTTAGAATTTGAAAACATTAACTTTTGAAATTATTAATAGAGAAACAAAAGATTAAAATAAATCATTTTAAGATATTATTTTGTGTAAGGAAATAGTAGATATTCAAAAATAATATGAATAATTAAATAATTAGTAGAAATTAAATATAAAAAAATATGTTTATATTAAAGTATGTATTGTTTAAAATGAAATTTTATAAGAAAATTAATAAAAACAAATTTTAAATACATTTAAAAATAAAGGTTTTACATAAAAAAAATATAATTTAATTAAATTTTATAAAAATAAAAATAATAGATTCTTATAATAATATTATGTAAAAAATAGAAACAATAAATAATGATTTAAATTAAAAAATAAATAAAAATAAAAAAAATGAAGAAAATGATATAATAAAAAATATGGATATATAAAAAACATAAGTAAATATTATATAATTTAAATAATAATATATATATATATATAAATTATATAAATATATATTATATATTTTATATTTATTTTTATTTTATATTTTATTTTTTTTATTTTTTATTTTATATTTTATATTTCTTATTTTATATTTTTTATTTTATATTTTATTGTTTTAATAAAGGAATAACTTGACACACTTTTATAAAATATTAATGATTTAAATAAAAATTCATTATGAATATTTAATTATTTTATATAAATATATTTAAAATTTAAAAAAAATATAATTATCAATTATTTAAATTAAAAATTTAATGATTATAAAATTCTGGAAATTTATTATTAAAATTTTATTAAAAATTCCATATTTACTAACTACAATAAATCAATTCTTCTTCATTTACTTTTAAAAGTTACATAATTTATTAAATCTAAAAACAAAAATTAAAATTTATAATATATATTATTTATTATATATTTATATATATATTTATATATTTATATATTTATATATTTATATATATTAGTATATTTTTTATTTTTACATTTTTAAATCCTATTTAATAATTTTTTCTTTTTTTTTCATACATAACAAAACTAATATATATAATTGAAGCAGATATTTCATTATTTTTAAAAGAGTTTATAAAATCAATATCGTACATTATTATTTTACAAAAGTAAAGGCATTTATTATATAAATAAAGAAATTTCGAACTACCTATACTTTTTTCATAATTGAAATATGAAAAAGTATATAAAATAATCTAGTGATAGGACATTCCTTGTACTTAGAAATCTAAAATAGAAAGTATTTCAGCTTCTTTTTCTATAATTTATTATTCTTTTATTTCCTAATCTATATATTTAGTTACTTATTCTATTGAAATCGAATAAACTTCTTCATATTTAAATGCGAGTAAAATACAGGCTGCCACTAAAACTAATAAATCATAAATTTTAAGTATTTTATTTATTTTTCTTAAATAATCGTCTAATATTCTTGCGGAAGTAAAAAAAGTTTCCTAATTTATATTTGGTGAAATTGCATTTGTGAAATTATTTATTATATGTATTATTTAAGCTCTTACTTTAGTAGAAGTTCTGCATTTTTCATAATAGTTTAAATCAATATTTTACGTAAAATTTATTTTGAGTTTAAATGTAAGATTATCAGGTTTATTTATTAATAATTTTTAAGGAACATTACTTGAAAATGTCCTTTTTTTAATTGTTTTTTAATTAAAATTCTATTTTAATTAACTTTGTTAGTTTTTTCTTTCTTCTTTATATTAATTTTCTTTTTCTTATATTTTTTATTTACAATCAGTTATTTGATATTAGATTTATTATATTTCTTGTTCATTTTATTCGTTTTGTAGTGATATAATATTTATTTCATCAATTAAATTATCTATTTCATTTAGTTCTGTTTTTATATAATTTTATATTAAAAGGTCTTTTTTTGGGAAAGATTTTAAATGATTTAGAAACATTTTTAGTTTGCTTATTTTTTATATTATAATTAAAAATACTTTTTTATTTTGGGGTTATTTATTATTAAATTTTTTTTGTTTTTTGTTTTTTCGAATCTGTTTTTTTTTTTTATTATTTAAGTAAAAAATATAGCTTATTTTTTATATTAGAATTTCTTTTATTTGTTTTGTTTCTTAAAAAAAATAAAAATATTATATATTTATTTTTTTACGCTCAAAAACTTTATATTTAAAATAATTTCATATATTAATTTTATTTAATTAAGCTTTTTATAAAATGAAAAATCATTTGTTTATAATAATAAATTAAATATTTAATAAAAAAAGAATATTTAAATATATAAGGATATTTTTTTGTTATATAAGATAAAAAATAATAAAACTTCTTTTTTTAATGGTAAGAATATTAATATAATTATTTAATAAATAAGAAAAAACATAAATTAATATTTGTTTATTATATATTTCATTATAAATAAATTATTTATATGTTTCAATTTATAAAAATAATTAATAAAAATTTACATAATCAAAATCTAATCACCATTTGTTTGGATGAAAAAACTTCTATATAATTAGAAATTAAAGAAAATAACTATTTCGTTTTTTAAGTTTTAATTGACATAATTTAATAAGGATTAGTTTAGCATTCAACAGAAAAATAATAAAAATATTATTTGCTTATTAAGATAAAAGATAATAAATCCAAAAAACAATTTTAAAGACAGTTGAATAATATTGAAAAAGTAAACGATTTATAAAAGTACAATCAGAATGATAATTCTATTTATATATTAACTTAAAATAGGTATATTTATGATAATATTTAACAAAATTTTATTTTTGATTAAAAACTTTTAAATGGTAAATTACTAAATTTTTTTCTTCTTTTTTTTAAAAAAAATAAAAAAAGATAATTATATAAGAAAAGGTGTTTTGAAAAAATATTGTTATAAAAAATAAGTATTTAAGAAAAAAGAAGTTAGTTTATATAAAGATCATTTAGATTATGTTGATTTAAATAAATAAAAAATAGTAAAGCTAATATCATTAGACGCTATTAAAAGTATTTAAATTTGTCCCGAAAGTAAATATAAAAATATTTTTTCTCTTTTAATTTCAAATAAGAAATACATTTTTTAAGTCACTTAAATAACTGATTTAAATCCTTGGTATTTATTAATATAATTTTTTAATATAGAAATATATATTTTTTTTTTAAAAAAAAAAAAAAGGGTAAGAACAATTTAATAAATACATAGATTTTATAATGATTCAAAATAATCTAAATAAATAGATATATAGTTATTTTAATAAAATTAAAAAAATATGAAAAAATTTACACTTTTTTTTTCTGATTATTTTAATGTAAGCTAATTATGGTAAAATTAAAAATCATTTGATTTTTTATATAATGAAATTATTAAAGTAATAAGTAATTAAGAAGATTTAGTATTAATAAAATTTTTAAATGAATAAAATAAATAAATTAATAAAAATATAAATTAATAAGATTCTATTTAGTTATAAAATATAATTTTAAATAATTCTTAATTTCTTTAATTTTTATCAGAATAAAAATTGGATTATAAAATATAAGAATTCTTCACTTAAAATAAATTAAAACTTAATGCATATTATTTAGAAGTAATTATGTGTATTTTAATTTATTTGTAATTTAAGTATTTTGATAAAGTTGATTTAAAATAAATTTTATATAAAAAAAATACAAATAAATAAATTTCTTTTTGTAATTCATTTACTAATTTTAAATTTAATAAATATGAATATAAGTTTTCCAATGATAGTAAATAAATCTCAAGCCCTTTTAGTTATAATATAAAAAATAAATATAGCACTCTAAAATTAGATAGTTAATAAAAGTTCGCATGGTAAAATTATATATTTATTTTTATAATTTATGTTTATAAAAGGTGGTTTTGATTTAAATATTTTTATTTTATTTTATTTTTTTAAAAAAACGAATATATTATTTATATGTAATTAATAAATATTTTTGTTTTTAAGTCGTTTTTTTATATATAAAAAAAAATATTTAATAATCTTTTATAATATATTTAATATATTCAATATGTATTAAATTATATATTAATAATTAAAAATAAATTTTATATTATTTTATTATTTCAATTTTAATAAATGTATTCACTTCTTTGTATACACTTGAAAAAATAAAAAAGATAAAATTGAAAAAAATAATATAAAAATAAACAAATAAAATAAATAATTAGTATTTTATAGAATCTTTTTTAAAAAAATATGTAAATTTTTAAAAATATATTTATAATATTTTATAAATTAAAAAATATATAGTTAATTATATCAAATTTTTATTTAAAAAATAAATAAAATATAACTATTTAAGTAAAATTTTAAATTTATAAAATAAAGTTTATTTAAAAATTAATATTTATTTTTTATAAAATACTTTTTATTATATGGTAGTTTACCTATTTATTGATAATTTTAACATAATAAATATATAAGATAATAAATTTATTAAAATAACATATTTTTTATAATAATTAACTTAATAAATATTTGACATAAATACTATTTATTAAGAAATAATATCTTAATAACAAAAATTAAAACTAATATTTAGTTTTTTATTTTATATATTAATAATTTTTATATTAATATAATATTATTAAATAATATAAAATAAAATTTTAATATAATTTTCATCAGTACAAATTTATATAATTTTTATTAATTTTATAAAAACATCTAATAAATTGATTATACATATATACAATACAGCAATATTTCTATTATCAACAAATTCATTATATATTCATACATATATTTTATTCTTTATCGAAAAAAATAAATAAATATATAATAATTATTTTAAAATATTTATAATTACAAGAAATAATAAATTATTTTATTTTTTAGTTAAAAATACGAATATGCAATAAGATTATTTCGATGATTATTCGAATGAGCCAAAAATAAAAGTTTGTATAAGAAAAAGACCTTTAAATAATAAAGAAAAAAATATAAACGAAACTGATATTGTTGAAGTTAGAACAAATTAATGTGTAGTCGTAAAAGAAACAAAGTAAAAATAATAATAATAAAATAAACATTTAAATAAATAAAAAAAAGATAAAAAGTTGATTTAACAAAATTTACAGAAGAACATTTTTTTAATTTTGATTATGTATTTGGAGAATCTTGTTCAAACGAATAGGTATTTATTTATATTTCATATTTTTATATAATAAAAATATATATAACATTTAAAGATATATTAAACTGTAGTTTAACCAATTGTTATTGCGGCATTTTAAAAAGCAAAAGTTACTTGTTTTGCTTATGGATAAACAGGTAGATTTTTTAAATATATTTTTATTATTAAAATATTAATGCTTTAATAATAAGGAAGTGGAAAAACACATACTATGTTAGGAAATGCATAAAACAGGGTACCAGGAATGTATGTATTAGCAGGATATGATATATTTTAAGCATTAAAAAGGGTATATAATAAAATGTTATATAAATATATATATATATATATATATATATATATATATTTATGTATATTTTTTTTAAATTATATATAGCCTGAATATATTAATTTATAAATAATTGTTTCTTTCTACGAAATTTATTGTGGAAAAGTATTCGATTTATTAAATGAAAGATAACTTTTGCATATAAGAGAAGATGGAAAATAAAATATAAATATTGTAGGGGCAGTCGAATAGAAAATTTTAACAATTGAATAATTATTTAAAGTGATAGAATATGGAATGTCTTCAAGAGTTACATGTATTTTTTGAATTAAAGTTTTTTTTTTGTAATTTTTATTGTTTGTATATATTTAAAGCTTAAAATAGTGCAAATAATGATAGTTCAAGATCACATGCGATACTTTAAATTTAATTAAAAGAATAAAATAGTAATTCTTATGGAAAAATTTCATTTATTGATTTGGCAGGGAGCGAAAGAGGTGCAGATGTTATAGATTAAAATAAATAAACAAGGTTTATTTTTTTATATTTAACAAATAAATTAAAATATTTATATATATATAGAAAAGATGGTGCTGAAATTAATAAATCATTATTAGCTTTAAAAGAATGTATAAGAGCATTAGATTAAGGGAAAAATTATACTCCTTTTAGAGGAAGCAAATTAACTTTAGTAAAATAAAAATATATTATTGATATATTAAATTTATTTAATGGAAAAAAGGTGTTAAAAGATTCGTTTACAGGTAATTGTAGAACTGTTATGATTGGAAATATTTCGCCAAGTTAAAGTAGTAGTGAACATACACTAAATACTTTAAGATATTCAGATAGAGTAAAAGAATTAAAAAAATAAAATAATACAAATGAATTAAATGAATAAATAAATGGGCTAGACTTATTAGCTAAATAACTTATGCTTCCAAGATAAAATAGTATTTAAATCATATAATATTAAATATTTATTAGTTTTTAATATAAAAAAAATAAAAAGAAAATGTAGTTAGAACAATGTTGTATAAAAACAATAATAATACGGTTAATGAATTATAAGGAAATTAAAAATTGGAATAATTATTAGATCAAAATTAATATAATAATATTAATTAAAAACATATATTTATAAATAATTAAAAAAACAATAATTACATGAATGAGGAAAATAATAATATAAATAATATATAATTAAGATAATAAATTAACTAATAATAAATTATATAATAGTAATAATAATAATATTAATAGTAGATATTAAATGTATAGCCATATTTAATAAATTAATAAAAAAATAATAATAATAACAATAACAACTTTAATATATTTTAACAATAATAATAATAACAATAGCAATATTTTAATTAATAATAAATTTAATAATAATCTTATTATAATAATGATTATTATTAATAATAATAGTAATTGCAAATATAAAAATATTAATTATAAAATATAAATAATAATTTTAATATAAGCAATAATATAAATAATAATAATTAACAAAATATAAACTTAGAAAACTTAAACCCAATAACTGCAGAAATAAAAGACATTGAAAATTGGACAGCTAAAAATGAAGAAGATCTTTAAATAATTTCGTAAAAACACGAATTACTTATAAACTATATACTTGCTGAAGAAGAAGATGTTATATCTTATCATCGATCACATATTGATGAAATGGTAGAATTGACAAAATAAGTAAACATATTAAGATTATTTTACTTTAAAGAAAATTTAAAATATATAGGAGATGATACTTTTACATGAAATTGATTAACCTTAAAGTGATGTGGATAATTATATATAAAATTTAGAAAATATATTAAATGCAAAAGATGATTTAATATACAATTTAAAACAAAAGTTGAGTACATTCAAATAGCATTTAAAAAAAGAAGAAATTTTATCAAAGAAGTTTTATGAATAAAGATCTTAAATAATGGATGTTTTTGATTTGAATTATAATATAAAAAATAATAATAATGAAGAGTTATAGTTACTAGATGATATAAATGAATTTTGAGGTGTTAAAATATTAAAAGAAAAAAAAGAAAAATATATATATATATATATATATTTAATTTTTTTTAAAGTTAAATAAATAAAATTAAACTATTTAATATTTATATATATGTTATATTTATCTTAGTATATAATAAATATCTATATTTATATATTTATTTTTTAAATATAATTTATATATATATATATATATATTATTATTTTTTTGGAGGTTTTTTTATTATCATTATTATAAAAATTAATCTTAATTTATTATATTTTTCTTTTGTTAATAATTTAGAGAAAAAAAAAAAAAAATTTAAATAAAATATTTAAAAATGAGTATATAGGGAGGATATATTAAAAATACACCACAAAAAGTATTCATAAAATTATAAAAATAAACACCATTTTATAATTTCATTTTATTTAATATAAAAAAGAATGAAAATTCATATTTAGTTATAATTCCTTCAAATTGTTATTTAATAAATAAAATAAGAATGGATAATTAATAAAATGAAAGTTTTTACAATTTAGATGGATATTAATTTGAATAAGCAATTATTCTAGGAACATTTACTCTTATAGATAATAATGAATAAGAAATAATATAAGGTAAAATAACAGACTGTACCGGATAAATAATTGTATTTTGTGATAAATAGAAAGATGGATAATTACCTTAATTTATAATTGATTTTTTGAAGTATTTAATATTTATTATATACTTTTATTAATTTTAAAATATAAAAAAGTGAAAAAAAAAAAGAAGTATACATAAGAGCTTTAATTAAAATAAAGAAAAATATTAAACATATAATATTAATAAATTTTACTATAGTTAAAGATTATAATATTATAAGTAAACATAATTTAGAAATTATTACTAAACATTTATAAAGAACCCATGGGTAATTAGATACTAAAAAAATTAAAAATAACAATATTGATACAACATAGAAACAATAATATTAATAATAATATCCAAATAATTTTGAAGAAAACAAATAAAACGTAGTAAAAACAAATGTATATAATAAAAAATATTTTTATTTAATTTTTTTTTTTTATTATATATAAAAAGTTAAATAAAATTATAGTTGATTATAAGGCTGATTTATAAACTTAGGTTTTTTTTTTTATTTTAAATATAGATTTTTTATTTTTCTTATATTTTTTATTTATTTTAGATTATTTAATTTTTTAAGGAGTATTGCAAAATTAAAAATACATAATAAATTAATAAAGATGATATTTTTAATTATTTTTAATAATTTTAACATACACAAGTTTTAATTAAGTAATTTTTTTTATTTTTTTTATATAAAACTTATTTTATTAAAATTTTTATAGTAAAATTTTGTAAAATCTTATTAATAGAGGAGATGTTTTTGAAATAACTGGTAGTAATACGTTATTCTTAAATGATTGAATTGAATAGCATTGTTATAAACTTATTTTTTTTTTTTTTTTTTTTTTTTTTAATGTTTGTATATGTGTTATAAAATTTAATTTTAGTTATTATATAAGAAATAAATATAATGAATAGAATAATATTTTTATATAAATATAAAAATACATAAAAAAATAAAAAACTTAAACAAAACAAAAAAATATTGAATATAACAAAAAATAAATAAAAAAAATGAACAAAATTATTAAATAATTAAAATACAAATTTAATATAAAATCCTTAAATTATCAAATTACACCCAAGTATTTTTTTTTCTACTAAAAATTTGTGAATATAACCAGAAGCAATAAAAATGAAATAGATACATAAAAAGGTTAGTAATTAAAACCTACTGACGATTACAAAACAATTTAAAATCATGAAGATAAATTTGGAATTGAGGGAATAAAAAATCCTTAAGTAATATTAAATCATTTAAAAGATTGTTAATATAGTTATAGTATGAATGACTTAATTTATTTTTTGAGAAAATTACGCGAATTATATTTTGATGGAAAGGAATTTAAAGATAATCATGAGTTTAAATAATTATTAAAAAATATAAAAGAAAGATTAGAATTTGGAAATCATGAAAAATTTCCTCATTTGGGAAGTTATGCATAAGTATTTAAAGATATGTAGATTTTAGACAAAGAAATATGGGATTTATTATAAGAAAAAGTAAACGAAGACATATGGTATACAAATTTTAAGGAGAGTTTAAATGCAATAGAGGGATTTAGTGTAATATAAAATTGGAAAAGTTAAGAAGAAATAGATTATTTGTATGAAAAAATCGAAAGGATAATAAATTTAACAATATAAGATCAGAATATGAACGATTATAAAAGAATTGCTGAAGGTTTAGCTAATGTAAATAGGTTTAATCCTGAAATATTCGGATAAATAGAACATTATGTTTTAAGGAATTTATCTATGGAGTATGAATTGAAAACTATAGTGGATATAGTTTATGCTTTTGGCAAAGGAGATATGGGATCTAAAATATTTTATGAAGCAGTTTAGACGACAATTTTTAAAGGACATTTTTTGTAAAGGAGTGTTTTGTTTAAAAGAAATGAATTGCCTTATAATGGATATACTACAAGTAAACTTTTGGGAATATTTTCTCATGCAAAACATAGAATTTAAGATTTCGAACTAGAACCTGATTTTCAAGTTTTTATGTATAATTTGATTATGAATTAATAAACGGAATACAATATGATTGTATGTATTTTTTTTCTTTTTTTTAATAATTATTATATATATATTATAGAATTTAATTGATACAATGAAATATTTAAGTAAATTTGAATTCGAAGAATAGGATAAAATTGAATAATATTTAATAAATAGAATAAACTTTATTTAAGATAATATTTATTTTCAAGATATTTAGTATGCTATTGAGTTTCTAAGTTATAAGTATTGTGGAAAATATGATGATATTCCTATATAAATAATGGATTTTTTATAAAAATAGACACTTTTATAAATTGAAAAGAGAAGCCCTGAAGATATTATTTAAATGTATAAATTTTTAAAATATAGAAATCTTTTAAAATAAGATTTTGGATAATGTTTTTTGGAATAAATTTCGAATTATTTAGAAAAAAAAATACTTTAATTAAAGCCTTAATATATAAATTAAATATTAAATTTAATAGATGAATAATTGTAAGGTTAAAAAGAAAATGGAGAATTATTAAATTATAAATAAAAAATATAAGATTATTTATTAATATAGAAAATGAATAATTAAGAATAATAAAAATTAATTAATAATGATAATACTAATGATATATTAAAATTAGAATGAAAAAAAAAAAGTCATAAATAATATTAATAATAATAATATTAAAAATAATAATTAATTAATAATAATAATTACAATAATATAATTTTAAATAATAATATATTATATTAATATTAAAAAAATATAATATTTCGTCTTATAATTAATACATTTATATTTATTTTTATTTAAATTAAAATAAATCATTTATTCTTAATTTATTTAATATTTAATAAAAATAAAAAAGAAAATATTTTATATTAAAAAATAAATTAATCTGAAAAAATGGATACTTAAAATACCGTTAATAATTAAGACCATATAACAATTTAAATTGTTAAAACAGCTCCTTTTGCAGGCTAGAAACCAGGTACCTCAGGTTTAAGAAAGAAAGTAATCAAAATAATAACAAAATTATATAATTATATATATATAGGTAACTGTAATACAAGAGAAGAACTATTTAGAAAACTTTATTAGTAGTGTATTTCAAGCTTTACCATAAGATTAATTAAAAAGTAAAAAAACTTAAAAAAAATTATATAAAAAAAATAGAGGAAAACGTATTGGTAGTTGGAGGAGATGGAAGATACTTTAATAAACAAGCAATCGATTTAATTATTAGAATTGCGTGTGCAGAAGGTGTAGATCATATTCATGTGGCCTAAAATGGATTAATGTCTACGCCTGCGATATCTGCATATATTAGATATCTTACTTATGAATAAAAACTAAACTGTATTGGAGGCTTTATTTTAACTGCTTCACATAATCCAGGAGGACCTAAAAATGATTTTGGAATAAAATTTAATATTTCAAGTGGAAGTCCAGCTATGGAAGATTTAACTGAAAAAATATATAAATATACAACTTAAATAAACGAATATAAAATTTCTTCATAAAATTTACATGTTAAATAAATAAAAATAATTATATATATATCTATATAAATTAAATTTATATATATATATATATATATATATTTATTTATATTTGATATACAAATTTTTATTTATATATATTATATATACATTTATTACATATATTTTTATATATATAATTTTTATATTTTAAAAAAGGTTGATTTATCTTAAAAAAAAGAATATGTTTTTTAAAACGTTGATAGAGAAAGAAAATAATTTAATGTAAAAATAGTTGATTCTACTGAACATTATATAAGTTTAATGCAAAAATTGTTTAATTTTGAAAATCTTAAGAAACTTTTTTAAAGATAAGACTTCAAGTTTAAATTTGATGGAATGCATGGAATTGCTGGACCTTACGCTAAGAGAATATTCGTAGACCTTTTAGGCGCTGATGTTAAGAGTTTGTTAAATTGCGAACCTAAAGAGGATTTTGGAGGTGGACATCCTGATCCTAATTTAACTTATGCTTAAGAACTTGTTAAAATATTAGATGTTTTCCACAAATCGAACTCCATTCCTTCCAATATACCTAATTTTGGAGCTGCTTGTGATGGAGATGCGGACAGAAATATGATTTTAGGACGATAAATTTTTGTTACTCCATCTGATTCAGTAGCTGTTTTAACAGCTTATTATTCTAGTGTGTTTGGAAGTGAGGGTAAAATATTGGGAGTAGCGAGATCTATGCCCACATCAGGTGCTTTGGATAAAGTAGCTGAAAAAATGGGAATAAAAAACATATATGAAGTCCCAACTGGATGGAAGTTTTTCGGGAATTTAATGGATGCTGGAAAAATTAATATTTGTGGAGAAGAAAGCTTTGGTACCGGATCTAATCATATTAGAGAAAAAGACGGAATATGGGCTATTTTAGCCTGGTTAAGTATTTTAGCTGATAAAAATGTCGATAAAACTTAAAATGGGAAATTTTTTGGAGTAGAAGATATCATGAAGGAATTTTGGTAAAATTTTGGAAGAAATTATTATTAAAGATATGATTATGAAGCAGTTGATACTGAATCTGCTAATTAAGTTATGAAACATTTAGAAGGATAATTCGAATATTTTAAGGTATAATAAAAATTTATTAATTAAATATTATAATTATTTAATAAATATAAAAATATAAATTAAATTGATATATAATATTAATATATATCTAGTATAATATTTATATATTTATTATGTAATAAATAATATAAAATATATATAAAAAAATAAATATATTAATTTTTAAGTATATGTATATATATATATATATATATATATAATTATATCTATATATATATATATATATTAATATGCTACTATATTATTTATATATTATATATTATATTTTTTTTTTATTTTTTTTTTTTATTATCTTATATTTATAAATTTATATTAATTATTTACAAGGGATTGCAAGAAGGCAATAAGGCTGATATTTTTAATTATACTGATCCTGTAGATGGAAGTGTTAGTAAAAATTAGGGTATAAGATTTATTTATGCTGATGGTTCAAGGATTACTTTTAGACTTAGTGGTACTGGATCTGAAGGAGCTACTATTAGAGTATATTTTGAATAATATTCTAAAGATTAACTTTTTATGAAAACAGAAAAAGCATTGAAAGATATTATTAAAGTTGGTCTTGAATTATCAAAAATTGATTAATTTACTGGAAGAAAAGAACCATCTGTTATTACATGAAAAATAAATTAATATTTAAAAAAAAAAAATTATTTTTTATTTAATTTTAATAAAAATAAAAAAAAATGATTAATAATAATTATATATAAAAATTATATATATAAAAATATATATATTATATATATATATATATATTAATATATTAATCTATTTATATATTTATATATTTATTTCAATTTGTTTCTAAACAACAAATAGATTTTTATTAAGCTTTATGAGATTAATTATCATCTTTATTTATATTTACTAATTAATTATCATTAAATTAAAAATAAACAACATTATCCTTATTAATATATTATTAATTTTTATTCATAATATACATCCAACTACATGAAATTAAATTATCTATAGTTTAATCTAAATTAGTTATTTTTTCTATTTGAAATTCAAAATCTATTTACTAAATATTTTTCTTGCTATCCTATATAATTCTAAAATAAAAATCTTATGATTATTAAGAATTATTATTATTTATTTCTTATATTTTTAAAAATGATTTTATAAAAATATTAATAATATTCATTTATAGATCTTTTTTGACATTTTCCCATTCAAATTAGGCCCATTTTTCTACTATTAGGTCTATTTGTGTTTTATGTTCTATATAAATTACATTTTTGAAGTTTTAATTATTATTCTTTAACTCTTCCATTTCTTTTTGTAATTATTATAAATGTAAAATTTATTAAGGAATTTTTTATTTTTATTATAATATTTCGTAATATTTTCTTATTGTTTTTTCGTAAAAATTACATTTTTAAATTCTTTGCAAAATTTCCATTTTTTAGGTTACAAAAATAACCAAATTTATATTTTTTTCAGGTTTTTTTACTAATATACATTCAATAAATTACACTAATTTTTACAGACAATATGGCTGCATTTAATTTTCCAAAAGAAAACTATATTAAGAAAATAAAATTAGCAATTAGCCTAATTTCTATATTGAAAAAAGGCTTATATTTTCTACATAAGGGCTTATATTTTTCAATGCGCACATTATATTATATACATAACAATCTATTTTGAGATTCTAAGCATTAATTATAACTTAAGAAGCCATTCCAATAATAAGATCAGCCAAAGATCCATCTATAATTGGAAATTATGGCAAATTTAAGTTAAATAGTTTCATTTAATTCAAGCTTTATCCAAAAACATGGTTTTAAGTAACATATAGAAGCAGATTTAAACTCAGAGTGTATGTAGAGTTATTTTAGGAGGGTTCTTTGCATAAATTATAGAGGAGAATTTTAACTAAAAAAGGAATGTTTTTGGGAGAAATTTATAAATTATAAAATTAAGTACTTTTAAAAATTAAGAATGTATATATAGCGAATATTTCCTCTTCAAAAGAAACTTATTAAGAAGTTTATGAAAAAGGGTTTATAAATAAAGAGTTTTGGGATTTTAAAGGGCTGTCAAGAATTTAAATTAAAGCTTAGGAGACTAATTCGGAAACAAAGGATTTTTCTAGATTTTCTAGGAGAGTATATTGGATGTGATTTGTGAATATACTATCAAATGAGATATCATTTAGAAGGTTTTTGGATAAAAAAGAGGCCAAGATTTTAAAGGAAGGGAGTGTATTTTTCTAAAAGGAGGCTGTGAGTAATAAAATGATGATTTAAGAGGTATTTTGTAGTATTTATGGGTTTTTATTTGTTTGTTTTTAAGATGTTAGTAAGAAATAGAATATGTTTGCGAAAAAATCAAAGGAAATTTAATTTTATGAAGATATAAAATATGCTAAATATGGGTTTTGTGCACTTTTTGGTTAAAATAGGGTTTTAGTAAATATTATTAAAATTAAATTTAAAATTAATAAGATATTATATTAAATTTATGAATTTTAGTAAAGGTAAAATTACTAAGTAAAAAAAACTTAAGTATTTAAAAAAAGGGTTGATTTTATTTATTACTAATATGAAAAAAATAACCCCAAAAGGCTTTTTAATAAAGAAATTATCAAAGGAAGATTCTCATTTTAAATCCAAAAAAATAAATCATCTTTATTATTTTGATACACTAAAGGGATTATTTTAGTCAAAACTAATATTATAGTATTTAATTAGGGAATTTAAGTTTAAAAATTTAAAGATTTTTATGCTAATTAAGTTATTAGAATTTTTATAAGGTTTTATATTTAAGGATTGTTACCTTTTATATTTTCGAGTATTTCGTTGGTGCATATATTTAAGGTAAAATCATAGGCTTTTTCAGGAGTTGGTGTTTCAATGAGGTTTTGGATTTGGGTTTCGCTTTAAAATTTTAATATTTGGGATAATATTTAAGTAGTTTATATAATATTTTATTATTATTATTATTAATTATTTCCCATATTTAATTTTTTATATATTTTTCCTATGTTTTTTGCTTTTTTTATATTTTTTGTATGTATATACAAAAATAATATTATTTTATTTATTTATTTTTTTTTAAACAAAAAAATTATTTTAAATATAAATAGTAAAAAATACGTTTAGTCCAAATAAATTTATTTTAAAAAAATAATAATAATAATTATATTATTACTCATAAAACAATTAGAAATTAAAATAATTCTAAAAAAAAAAAAAAAAATTGTTTTAGAGAAATGCAAATAAAAAATAATATTTTAAAATTAATTGATTTAAGAAAAAAAAGACTAATTAAATGATTAAAAAAAATATTAAAGACTAGTTAATATATACAAATTATCTCTATAATTATATGAAAATTAATATATGAATATGTCAAAATAATAAATATATAAATGTTAATTTAAATATAAATTATACTCACTTTTTACAAACACTTTTTATTATAATTAGAATAAAGTATTGAAATAAATAATTTAAAAAAAAAAGATTATAATATTAAGTAAAAAAAATCAATAATTTGATATATAAAAAATTAGTTTATTTAGAAATAAATAGTATTATTTATCAAAAAAATAATTTAATAAATATTTTGATAAAAATAGAAAATATAATTTATTAAAATAAAAAATTAAAGAAGATTTAGAAAAATTAAAAAAAAAAAAAAAAATTCAAAAAGAATATTATTTAAAATTTAATTCATGAATATATTAAAAGAAATAAATTTTAAATTGAATTTTAAAATATAGGATATTAAAAAAAAGAAAAAAAATATAATTTAAATTAAAAATAAACATATCAAAAGATAAAAAATATAAAAATTAATGGTATATTATTTAAATAATATAAATAAATATAACACAATCACAAAAATAAATATATATATATATATATATATTTATATATTTAATATTTTTAGTATATATTTTTATTTTTAATTTATAAATTTTTTATATAATATTTTTTTATTTATTTCAATTATCAATTTTTAATTATAAATCCACATATTTTTTTATTTATTTTCTTTATATTTTATAATATTAATAAATATTTTTTATAATACTGTAATAAAAATAATTTGAGTTTATACTTTTTTTTTTAAACTAATTAATTCCTATTATTTTTATTTAGTATTGAAAAATAACATTTCAAAAACTAACTAAAACATTAAAAATTCATATATTTTTTAAAAAAATACAAAAAAATTTTAAAACATATTTATTTAAATACATTAAATTTATATAATTAATAATTAGCTTCATTTGAAAAACATATAATTAAATAATCATATTAACAAAAACAAGATTATTATAATAAAGATAAAAAAAAAGTTTTATAAAGAACATTAAGAAATTAATGTATATGATATGCAATAAAATTAAAAAGAAAATATATTTTAATAATTTATATAATAAAAAATAAAAAAGCTATATCTTTTTAAATACTAAAAATTAATAAAAAGAAAACTTTATAATATTAATGAAAAAATTAAACAAAACTAATTCTAAAACTTAAATTTAATAAAAAGTATAATTTATATGAAAATAAATAATATTTATAAAAAAAAAAATTAAATATTTTTTATAAAAAAATTATAAATCATATTTATAATTTTTAATACTAAATAAAATGTTATTTTATAGATAATTTTAAAAAATATTTAATTAAGTTAGAAAAATATATAATAAAGATAGAATTAAATATTATAATTTTTATAAGAGTAAATAAAAATTACAATAAAAAAAAATTAATGCAATTAAAAATTCAACAACAAAAATATTTTAAAAAATGAATGTGTATATAAAAATATTTAAATATTAATTAAATTAATATATTTATATATATAATATATTTATATATATATTTATATATTATTTTATATTAATAATTTATTAATTAAGAGTTATACAAAAAATAATACTTTGAATTAAAATATTATAAAATATATGTTATCAAAAAATTAAGAAAGACCATTTAAATAAGGAGGACTTTATTCATTAAATTTAGGATAAAATAATGGTCCTTATTTGACCAAAGACATTATGATAACTAATTAAAAAAGCTTATCTTTATTAAATTCAAAAGACAATGTAACAAAGACTGCTGCTAACATATTAGCTAGCGTTGGAGATAATATAGTTTACGGTCCAGGAGTAGTATAAGAACCTCCAGATGTTTTTGATTAAAAAACAATGACTTTTACAAATTATGACGAAAGATATTAATGTAAATTATCAGCTTCAGATAATGTTAAATCTACTAGCAAGTTTAAACATGTTATTTTTTTAAAAAATATTATTTTTAAATTTTTTGTTTAATTTAAAATTAAAAATACTAAATAGGAATAACTACTTGTATTATAAAAATAAGCCAAATATTATAAATAGTTAGCTTAAGAATATAAGAATGATTTAGAAAATGTATAACATTTAATTCATAATAATAATATAAATAATATTAAAGAAATATAACCACTTATTAAAGAATTTTAATTACATTTAAAATAATTATTGAACGAAGAAAAAAGCGAGAATTATAAATTATAAAGAGAATTAGAATAACTAAATAGAGATAAATTGCAATTACAATAATAATTACTGTTTTGTAGCAAAAGAGTTTAGGATTTGTAAAAATAAGTTGGTATTTATGACGGCGAAAATAAAAAAGAAAAAAATTTTAGTGATGATGAAGAGGAAGATGATGATGATAGTAGTTCAAATAATTGATTAGTTATTATATAATAGATAAGTTTTTTATTTATTTTTTTCGTTTTTTTTTTTATTTATATTTTAGTTTTTTTTTTTTTAGTTAAAAAATAATAATAATAATTATTTATAAAAATTTAATTGATTATCTTTCTTTCTTTGTTTATTTTATTTTTTTTGCTTTTTATTTATACTTTTAGTTTTATTTTGAATTAAGAATTTTATTGATTTTTTTTTTTTGTAAGAAAAGTATAACAGGTATTTTAGTAATTAATTTGTATTTTTTATATTTATAGTTTAAATAAAAACTTTTTAAAATTAAAAATATATCAAATTTATTGATTATAATATTTATTTATTTTCATTTATATAAATATTCTTTATAATAATAATTATTATTTAATTATATAATATATATATATATATATATTATATATTTATATATTTATATATTTAAAATAAAATTTAATTCTTATAAATTTAAACACTTATTTTTTTTACATAAATAATTATATTTTTTTATTTAAATATAAGAATTCAATATCTTATTATATTTTATTTTTATATAATTAATAAATTATATGTTAAAAATTAAATATTTTTGATTTTAATTTATTTTAAGATTTTATTCATATTTAATTAAAATCAAAATTTTATATATAATTTAAATATTCATAAAAAAAATCTATTTATTTCAATATAATTTATATTTTATAAATAATTTTGTAAAGAAATATATATATTATTTTATTAATGCAATTTTTTAATATAAGTTTATCAAAATAAAGTATTTAACTTTAAGTTAAATTCTGATATTCAAATAGGAATTAAATAAGATTAATAAAAAAATACATATTATTTTTGTTTTTAAAAATATTTTTAAAAATGTACTAATATAATATTTTTAATTTTTAATAATATGCTGATGTTTATATAATAAATATGAAAATAAAATTATAACTAAAATTTGATATTAGTTTTGATATTTTTTGCTGATTAATTTTTTTAAAAAAAATATAGAATAAAATAAATATAAATACATTTTTTTTTATGAAATAAATAAATAATAAAATTTTTTATGTAATTCATATAATTAAATATAAAAAATAAAATAATATATATATATATATATATATAATATATATATATATATTATATTTTAATAAAAATACATATCTTTTATAATTTATTAAAATTATATTCTTTTTTTTTTAAAAAAATAACTCAAATTACTCAATTTAATGTCATCAAAAACTGAACGTATTTTATAAATAAGACAATAAATAATAACATATTAAAAAAATATATAGAACTAAAAGAATTTAGAACTCAAAATAAATACGATCCTTATTTAATAAGAGATGTTTTTAATAGTTATATTGAACATGTTTCTTTTTATAAAAAAAATTGAATTATTTATAATTTTTAAAAATAAATATAAAATGTTAAATATAGATTTTTTAAGAAGGAAAATATAAATAAAACGTTAAGCTTTCACATAAATACGATGATACAAAAGTAAAAAATATTATTTAAGAAAAAATCATTTAAAATATTATTGAAAAAAAAAAAAAGATTTGCTTAGGACTTATAATTTTAGCAATTTTATTAATTACCTAATTTTATCCAATTCCTTTTCCCAAAAATATGATTTTAGTTGTTATAGGTATAATAGGGTATTAAATTTTATTTTAATCTAATTTAATATTAATTGATTTTTTATATTTTAAAAAAAGATATACTATATTCAGTAATTTATATTCATATTATGAAACTTATGTATAAGGAGATGCATTTTTACTTTTTAAGTTTGTATAAGAAGATAATTAAAATTATAGATTTTGTTCTAGTATTGAAAATTTGAATAATATTTTTAAATTATATATTACTTCTAAAAATAATTCATAAACAAATGTAAAAATATTATGTATATATAATATATATATATATATATATATATATATATATAAAAAATATATATATATATGTTTATAATTATTTAAATATAATAATTTTTTTTATGTTTTACATATATTTATTTATATATTTTTTATATATATATATACAGCTTTCTACTGCTGAATTGAAAATCGAAAATTTTTTTGATAGTGATGGATATCTATGTACTTCTACAGTAGATAAATTAGTTGATTAAATGATAGAAAATCTTAAGAAAAAAAAATAATGAATTTTTTTTTATTTAAATTTAAAAAAATATATGTTATAATAAATTTAATACAATATTAAATAATATAAAAATATTTAATCAATCAAAAAATAAATGAAACTTTAAACTTTTCAAAAATATAATTAAAATCACTTTATTTAATTAATTTTTTTATTAAAAAAAATAAAAATATTAAATAAAAATTGATTTTCTTTTACAAAATATTTTTTTTAAAAAAAAAAAAACAAAAAAAAGTGAAAAAAAAAAAAAAAAAGATAAAAAAAAATTTCTCCTAAAAAATAATTTTTTCATTTCTTAGCTTAAGCAGCAGCAGCAGCTTTTTTTTTTTCAGCTTCAGCTTTTTCAAGTTCTTTTTAAGCTACCCAATCTTACTTAGCCTTCGCAAAATCACGAGTATATTTAATTTCTCCATGTAAAACGCTTTATTCTTTCAAAGTAGTTCTTCCCATAACACCTTCGCACTAATTTCTTTTAACCTAAGGTCCAGGTACAGCTGTTCCATTTTCTAATTTTTTAAGTAATTCGACTACATTTTCAGTATTTAAGTCTTCGTAAACTTTTTCGTTATTAACTTAAATCATAGGAGCATTAACACAAGCACCTTTATAAATAAATATATTTTTTAAATTTAATATTTTATTTTTTTTTAAATAAAAAATTAAAATATTATATAAGAAATGTACATAAATATATAGATATGTACCTAAACATTCCACTTCTTAAATAGTCCATTTCATGTCTGGAGATGTATGACCTAATTTAGTTCCTGTATAATTTTCAATTGCTTTTGTAATTTCCCTAGATCCGCATAATTAACAAGGGGTAGTTCCACAAATTTAAATATGGAATTTTCCCACAGGTTCTCGATTGTACATTGTGTAAAAAGACGCTACTTCGTATACTTCCATGTCTGCGATTTCTAAAATTTTAGCTATTTTTTTCATAGACGATAATGATACGTAATTGTTATTTTATTCTTAGGCTAGATATAGTAATGGCATTACAGCTGAACGCTTTTGTTTTTTGGGATATTTTGCTAATATTTTTTCGATTTTTTAGTAATTTTCGTCAGTAAATTCAAAAGGAGTTGAGTCGGTATTGAAATCATTTATTTTATGAGAAGGTAAACCGGAAGAATAAAATAAAGGTGTATTTACATTCAATTTAAATATTTGCTATGGGAGGGTCTTTGATAATTTTTTTATAAACATTTTTTTTTTTTTGGATTTTATTAATAATTATATTGTAAATATATGTATTTTTTATTTAATTATTTTAATTAACGTCATATAGTAAATACAAAAAAATAAATATATATAAAAATATATATATATATATATATATATATATATATATATAATTTTTCTTTTTTATTATTTTCAAATTTTTTATTTTTTAAATTATTATAATTTTTATTTAATTTTTTTTTGATTATATAATTTTTTTTTTAAGATTTAATTCTAAAAATATTTATTATGTTCAAATAGTTTATTTTTCATTATTAATTATTATATTTTTAAGAAAAAAATAAAACAAAAAACGATTCACATTTTAATTTTTCTATATATAATATACGAAATAAATTTTCAAATAAATTAATTAATACATTTTCCATATTTAATAAGTAAATTATTAAAAAATAGTATTATTATTTTTTTAACATATAAAAGAATATAAGAGTTAAATATAAAATATATTATTTTATTAATCCCAATTCATAAAAAAAAACATTAATAAAAATAATATAAATTCATTCATATTTTTTCTTTTTTTGTTTTGCTTAAAGATTAATTTAAAATTATTTTAAATAGTAAATAAAAAATAGATTAAAAATTTAAATAATAATAATAATATTAAATTTATTTATTATAATTTAAATTCTTTATTTTAACAAAAAATTGCCATTTATTTAAACAAAACCTTAAACTGCTTATAATATTTTTTTATTTAAGAAAAAAAATACATAATATCTTACATAACTTAAAAAACATAAAAATACAAAAAAATCAAATAGTCCAATAAATTTTCTAATTATCAAAAACTAAGATTTTTTATTAATTATTATTTAAAAAATCAAACTTTTATTTAAAATAGTAATTATTACTCACTGAAAAAACATAAATTACATTTTTTTTATTCTCAAACAATATAAAAGGTCCAAAAATTTTCGAATCTTATTTCCATATTCTAAAATAGAATTTAATATTGCTCTAACTTTCTTAGTTTTTTTATAAATTCTCAATATTAAATAGATGTAAAGTCCCATTATAATCACTCTAAGCGGTTCCTTAACCATAACTAATTAACGCAAAAGCACTATTATTTTCATTAAATTTCATATCTGCGATAACTTTCTTATTTCTCCCTCTATATAAACTTCCTACTATAGTTCCTTTTACAGATTCGAAAATTTTAATATGCGATCCGCCTTCGGAACATGCTGCGATATAAAATCCATTCGGGCTAATGGAAATTTAGGAAACTTAATTATCAGTTTAAAAAATCTAATCTGAATTTAAAATAAGGTAATTACTTTTTTCTGAATTTTAGGAAAAATTAATAAATTGAGTAAAATTTAAATGCAAATTATTCACTACGATTTAGTTTTGGTAAATATAGGCAAAATGAAGATTTTAAAAATCCGTATTTATTATAAATTGAGATACGTTTAATATATATTTTATGGGTTTATCTTATTCAATATTATATATAATTATCCTTTCAGAGCTACCTATAAATAAAAACTCTCTCATATATTTCACTTTTAAAACAGGCTGAAAAAACTCGTATTTTTAAATTATGTAATTATTTCGACTATCCCATATATATACATCACTATCATTTTAACTTTTTTAATTATTTCCACGTACTAAAGCACATATTAATGTATCAAATAATAATGATATTTAATTAATTTAACATTATTCTTTAAATGGATTAGTTTAGGAATCTTCGTAAGTTTAACGAGCCATTTAGTCTTTTTCGGGATCTCTATGGTATATTTGAATACCTTGGGTTGTCCCTAAGGCTATTGTTTTTCCAGATTGCGAAAATGAAATCGATATAACGTTGGAAGGGTTTAGGATCTCATATTATTCGTCTTCGTCTTTATTTTTTTCGATTATATCAAGATTATCAATATATTATATTTCCATTATTTTTTTTTTTTTTATAAATAATTTAATTTTTTTTTTTTTTTCAAAAAAATTAAAATTTATAAATTAAAATAAAAAACTTATTTAGTATTTGAAAAAATAAAATAACATCAAATTGTTTAATTAATTAATATCAAAATATATCATTTATTTCCTAATTTCAGATCATTTAATTTTTACCAACATTAGAAATAATCTTAATCAACCTAAACCTAATCATCCATCGCAAAGTTTGTAGTATTAATAAAATAGCATGTTTCAAACATAAAAGCTAAATTTTCATATGGTATTTTAACAGGTTTAAGTTCACAATTGCTCATTTTATGAAAGACCTCAGTTTCTGGTCCATGAGCAGTCATAATGTTATGCAAAGAACTACATCCAGGCCCAAATCCACCTACTTTAGCATCATATTATCCCGAAATATTTCCCATAAACTCACTCATGATATTTCTATGGAAATAAGGAGGTCTGAAAGTATTTTCAGCGACCATCCATCTCGGAGGGAAGACAACAAAATCACAAACTGCGACTCCTGGCTCATCAGAAGGGCATGTAAGCACAGTAAAAATAGAAGGATCCGGATGATCGAAAGATACAGTATTAATAGTATTAAAATTATCTAAATTATATTTATATGGACAATAATTTCCATGCCAAGCTACAACATCATAAGGGGAACTTTTTAATGTACTTTAAAAAATTTTTCCTTAAAATTTATTAAAAAGTTTATATTCTTTTTCTATATTTTCATAAAAAGCTATTGGACATTCAAAATCTCTAGGATTTGCTAATCCGTTTGCACCTATAGGACCTAATTTATATGAAGAATAAATATAATAAAAATTATATGTATTATATATTAATAATATAATATATTTATTAAAAATAATGATAAAAAAATTTTGCAGAAATAATTTTTTGAAAAATATATATAATAATGTTTATGAAAATTATATATATAAATATTTATATATTTAATTTAAATATATCTATAAATAATATTGCATATATACCAATATTTCATATGTTTTATTGTTATTTATTTATTTATTTAAAATATTACATAAAAAATTAAAATAATAAATGAAAATTTAATTTGTATTACCTAAATCTGGTATTTTAAAATGTCCTTTAAATACTTCACACACATAACCTCTTGAAGGCTATGTGATATCTATAGAGAATTTTATTCCTCTAGGAAGTATACATATTTCTCTTTATTTTACTACCATTTTTCCCATTTCTGTAGTTATGTAAAGTGTTCCTTCTTAAGGGACAATAAGGAAATCACCATCAGAATTATAAAAAGTTTCATTATTCATATTTTTATTTGCGGCATATAAATATATAGCTATTCCTTATTTTAATTATGGATCACCTGCTCCTGCGACTGTAATTAAAGACTCGAGCCAGTTTTTAGGGTTTTATGTATTATAAGGGAGAGGTTTCCATCTTAGTTAATTTGGGGTTGTATACATTTATTCGTCATTTAAAAAATTATTTTTTATAAAAAGATAGTTTTAAGAAGAAGAAGGCTTAAAAGGTGTATGGACTACTGAAGGCTTTATACGATAGAGCCATGAACGTTAGTTTTGGGCACGAGGAACGGTAAAGGCTGTGCCACTAAACTATTCAGCGATGAGATTATAAGGACAGGTTTAGGGAGAGTTTTAACCTTTCGGAAGAGCGTTTTCTAAAGCTTCAGTACAGTGGTGGTTACCGTAGCCATTTTAATATTAGAGATTGTTAAAGTCGCGGGTTAGGGTCAAAGATTAATCCATTTTATTTTTAAATATATAATTTTTAATTTCTTTTTATATTATTTTTTTATAAAAATATGATTATAAAAATTAATTAATAATTTGTAATTTGTTTTTTTTTTTTTTATAAAAAATATTTTAAAGTTATCAATCAAAAAAAAGAGAAATATAGTAAATGATATAGAGAAAATAAAAAAACATAATATTATATTTTTAAAATAACTATTATCTAAATTAAAGGGAAAATAAAAAATAAATTCTTTAAATATTTTTATTGATAATTAAGTATGATTTTATTAATATAATTCGTGTCTACTTTAATAAAAAGATAAATTTTTATATACTGGTAATATGTTTAGATTAAATTAAAAAAAAAAATGACAATGAATTTGAATCAAAAATAAAAAAAGATTATTATAAAATATATAAATTAATATTTTAATATTACAAATATATAGAAAAATTAATAAAATATTTAAAAAAAAATTTTTATTTAATATAAATATATATAAATATATATAAATATATATAAATATATATATATATATATATATATATATATATATAATTTAATAATGTAGTAAAACAAATGCTTTCTTGATATATAAATTGGATAATTAAAACCTAAAAGAATGATTTTCTAATTATTTAGTTAACAAACTCCTATTACATGTAGTAATTTTTAAATGTTATGCACGGGTTAGAAAAAAGGTTAATAAAATTAACTTCTTTATTATAAAGGATGCAAATTTCATAGAGTTGTTCATTAATTTATGGCTTAAACTGGAGATTTTATATTTAATAATGGTAAAGGAAGTGAAAGTATTTATGGAAAAACATTTAAAGATGAAAATTTTGAGGCAAAGCATATAGGAAGAGGTATTATTTATTTTTTTAACAAAAAATATTTAACATATAAAAGGTATTTTAAGTATGGCAAATAATGGTAAAGATACTAATGGAAGTTAATTTTTTATAACTTTTAAAGATTGTCCACATTTAGATAATAAACATGTTGTTTTTGGGAAATTAATTAAAGGATTTAATGCTTTGGAAGATCTGGAAAATATAGCAAGTAAAGATGGGATTCCTTTGTAAGAAGCTGTTATAATTGATTGTGGGGTTTTAAATAATTGATAATTTAATTTTTGTTAAATAAAATATATACATATATATATAGTTTTTTAAATAAAAAATTGATATTTTTACTATTTATTTATATAGTAAAAAATAATTTCGAATTTTTAATATGATTTAAAAATATAATTAATTTTGTATCAAAAATTTGAAAGAATTATAAAGGTTAATCTATATTATGAATATTTTTAGATATTTAAAAAAAAATATTGTAAATTCATATATATTAATATTTTTTTTTTAAAAAAAAAAAAAAATATTAAAATTTAATATTAAATGTATTAATAATATAAAAAAATAATTATATTATAAATATAAAATTAATATTAGATATAAATATTTAATCATTTTATTAATAAAAAATGAAATTAATAATAATTGATAAAGATAGTTAAAACGAACTAAAAAAATGGAAATTAAAGGAAAATAAGTAAATATATATATAAATATTTATATATATATATATAATAAAATAATAGAACTTATATTATAGGGAGATCTGTATAAGCAGACATTTAAATTTAAGAAGAATCATTATCTAGAAAACATGCATAAATAATAATTTCTGAAAATTCTGTTTAGTTATAAGACTTAAATTCATGTAAAAAATAAAAAATCTATTATATATTTTTTAAGAAAATGGGACATTTATAAATAACAAAAAATTAAATCCAAATGAAAAAATAAGCCTTAAAAATGAAACAATAATAAATTTTGGAGATTGCTAGAATTATTTAATCTTTAAAAATAAAAAAGAAGCTTAAAAACATAAAATAAATGAAGTTTTAAAATAATAAAAAGATATACAAAGTGATAATTAAGATAAGAATGAAAATTTAAAAGAAAGATTTAAATCAAAAGAAATACCAACAGTTTAATAAAAAAAGAAGCTTTTATGGAATAAAAAAAGTTTTGAAGATGATTAAGAAGTTTAAAAAAAAGCCTAAATTTATGGAAAATTAGATGGTAATTAACAAGATAAAAATAAATTCTTTAAATTATTGGGCATTAAAAAAGAAGTGAAAAATCCTTCGCCTAAAAAAGAAACATAGTTTATTAAATAAAGCGGTACTGAAAAAGAAAAAATGATTAATGATTTAGAAAACTAATATAATTAGGGATTAAAAAGAATGTATAATAATAAAAATGGATTAGGATATGGATGATATATATATATTAAATATAAATTTTATTTTTAAAAACAAAATTATTTAAAAATAAAAATTTTATAAATAAATTTTTAACTTTTTAATAAAATAGATTATATAAAATTATTTAATATATTAATTTTTTTGTTCAGTAATTATAAAACATTAGAAACTTTTTTTTTGTTGATTAATTTTTTTATATTTAAATAAATATTAAGATAATAAATTTAAAAAATAAATTGTATATATATATATATATATAAATATAAAATAATTATTAAATAAAAATAATATTTTGATATATTTAATTTTTATTTATATACATTATATTTTGTTTTTTTGTTTTTTTCAAAAAATTATTAAATTCTCAATTTTTCTAAAATTTCAAAATTTATTATTATAAATCTTATAAATTTAATTTACTATCATAACTATAATTTCTTAAGGTTTTTATATTTCTTGGACATAATAATTTTTTTTTATTTTAAAAAGCTTTTTTAATATGTATATTTTTTTCTTTATTAAAGTTAATATTTGGTTAGTTTTATTATCTTTAATTATTTAAATTTTATTAACTTAAAAATAAGTTTATTTAATTTGCTTTAAAACTATTATCATTATTTAATTTAGAATTTATTCTCATTATATTATATGATTTATTATTATTTTTATTATTATTTTTATTATTATTATCAATCTTATTTAACATTTGCTCATATTAAGTATAAACCTTTTAATGTGATTTTATTGGAGATAAGCCTTCTGAATTATTATCAACAATATGAATTGATTAATTCTTTTTAATTTTTAAATTATTAAATTAAAAAAAAAAAAAAATACTTTTTAAGTTTTTAAGTTATTTTCAAAAGTTAGTTATTATTTTTTTTCTTAAGGATTAATATAAGAAGTTTTAATTTTTTAAGATTTTTATCTTAAGAAACTTTTAAATTCTTATTATTATATATCGGTATTAGTTGAAAATTTAGTATGTAAGTTTTATTAATTTTAAGGACTTTTATAATTAATTTAAGAATCTAATATTAATTATTTTAGGATTCTTAATTATTTATATTAAATCATATTTTAATCGTTTTTAATAATATTTTAATTATATTTATTCAAAATTTAATTATTTTTTATTGATTTAGGTAAGTTTATTTAATTTTTTTTAATTTCATTTAATAATTCAATTATATTTAAATTTAAATGAATTTTTTTTTTTTAAACAAATTCTTTATTAGATTATTATATTTATTAAATACGTAAGTCCCAAAATTTTTTCTTTTATTCTATTTCTTATAAAAATATATTCAAGCAATTATTTTGTTTAATAAAATTTAAAAAAACCTATATAAAAAATAATAATAATAATAAAAAAAATTAATTAAAAACATCTTTTGAGAAAAAATAAATATCAGAATTTTAAGAAACACATATGGCTGAATATTTTCTTTTAGAATTTTCGAAAATTTCTAAATCTCCAAAACAATTATTAGGTCCCAAAATTGCAATTTTAGCTGTTTTAACTTATTAATTTTTCATTTTATGTATTTCTTTTAAATTAAAAATAAACTAAGGGTCATTATTATCTTTAATAAAATTATTATTGCAAAAACTTTTAGAAATTTCTATTTCTCCAAATTTTATAAAAAATATAGATTTCACTAAATCATCTTCTAAATAAATATTATCATATTTATTAAATTAAATTATCCTCATAAAATTAACTAGTTATTTCAATTATTTTTCTTATATAAATTCAAACACTTTAAACTATTTTAAAAATTTAACTTTTTCAATTAATAATTATTCCTAATAATTTCCTAATATTTCTATAAAACTTTACTCACTTAAGGTAACAAAACTACAATCTTATGAACATACAGCAGTACCAATTCTTTATATAAATTAAAAATAATAATAATAAAATATATTAATTTATAAAATAATAATATATATATAAATATATAAATATATAAATATATATATATATATATATATATATATATACATATATTTATATATATATATATTATTTTTTATTTCTACCTATATTATTTATTAGTTATTTATATATCTCCAAAAGAATCTCCTTATACATATTTTCCAATTTAATAATGATTTTAGAAACAACAATTTATAAAAGTATTAAATTCATCGTCATTGCTTTCATCGTCTTATTCATATATTTATAACAAAGATTTTCTTAAATGAATTTATTACTGCTTTTAAGGTGATTAAATATTTAATAAATTATTACTTAAATTCATAAAATTTAATATTTGAAAATCTTATTTTTTTTTTTTAACTAATTACTTTTTTCTTTTAATTTAAGAAACTCTGTTTCTTCTTATAAAATTTAATCTTCTTCTGTATTTTTAAGCATATATAATAAACAAGCTCCTTTATTTTTTTTTATTTTTAAATATTTATAAATTTATTAAATTTACCTTTTAATATTATATAAAATTTATTTGCTACTTGCCCATTAAAATACAAAACAGTCTCTTTTTTTTAAAATTCATATTTTAGTGCACTAAATAATTAGTTATATAAGTTTTCTTCAAGTTCTTATTTTTTATCTTAAAAAAACTTAAAATTTAAAATTAATCTTATAAAAATTTGATTTCATTTTTATTTTTATTTTTCTTTTTTAATATTTTTACAATCAGCTTTTTTATTTGTTTTTATAAATAAATAAATAAATATTATTTTTATTATTATTTACATCCATATCACTTTATTTTTAAAAATTTATATTTGTTATTTTATTAATTTTATTTTTTGTAGAATTATCTGCATTAAATAATTAAGTACATATTTTTATTTTATTAATTGATTTCTAAAAATTTTTTAATTATGAATTTACAACTTATAAGTCTTATTCATATTCTAATTTTATATTAATTTTTTCTTATTATTCTTAAGTTTATATTTATAGAGATTTATATTATTATTAATAATTTTATTATTCTTTATTCATATTTATTTTAATTTTTTATATTAGTTAGCTTTTTGTTTTTAACTTTATTAATAAAATATTGTGGTTATTATTTTTTATATTTTTTTTTAAAAAAAAGTATTATTAAATTATTTTTATTTTAATATTTAAATTTTTTATATAATAAAATTAAAAAAATTTTAATATTTTATTAGCATATTTATTTTATTAAATATGTGGAATTTTTATTATAAATAAATAAGAAAATTAATTACTTAAAAAATTACATTTAAAAAAAAAAAACATATAATATAAAATTACAAATTTTAATAAAAAAAAAATAAATAATTCAATATAAATTAATATTTTATTTTAAAGGGTTTAAAAATATATTTTTTTAAGCATCAAATTCAATTTTTTAATTTATTAATTATTTTTCTATATCATTTATTTGTGTATCTTATTTTGAAACTTAAATGTTATTATTTTATTTATTTTTTTATTTCTGAATTTTTTTTTATATTCTTGCATGATAATTAACTTTTCTTTATTCAAAAATAAAAATATCTTCGTTACTAGCTTTACAAATAGTTCCTGCATATTTTTTTCTATAATCTAAATTTAAAAAATATAAATAAATAAATATATATATATAAATAAACATATATATATATATATATATATTTATATTTATTTATATATATATATATATATATTTATATATATATATATTTAATATACTTGCTCTTTATAAACATGTTTATGGATTTTTCGTAATGCAATCAAAACCTTTTATTCCTATTAAATTTGCACTTTTATTTTTATAAATAACAAATATATATTTATTTTTTTAAAAAATATACATACATACAAATAACATCAAAAGGAGATCTATGATCTATGTTATTAAATGATGAACTTGTAAAAATAATATTTTTTCCTTTAGTTAACTTAATTATATTTATCAGATTTGTTAAAATATGTTTTTTTTATTCGCCTTATTATAATAAATCACAGTAAGTAATTTCAAAGAAAATGCCTTTTTTTATTGCTTAATTTATCCATTATCTTTTAGGAATAAAACTAAATTTTTAATTTAAATCAAAACATATAATATCATAATCCTTTTTGTTTTTATATAAATATAAATAAATATTATATCTATTACATCATATTCTATACATAAACTATGAAATATTTTTTCATTTTAAGTTTTTATTGCTACAAGATCATATTATTTTAGAACTTTATTTTATGACTTAAATTTAATAAGATTATTAATTGTTATAAACGTAAATATATTTATATATATATACATACTAATTTAGGTAGATATTTGCCATCATTAATTTCTAATGTAATTCTTTTTGTAATCTAAAATTATTAATTATCTTATATTTCTTAAGGAATTTTCGGTAAATTAAATAATTTAATTTATTCGTTCATATTTTAATGCAAATAATTAACTGAAATACCTTAATATTATTCATCTAAACAGCATTAAACAAGTTATTAAAATTAAATATTTAATTATTATTCATTTTAATTATTATTTATAAATTTAATATTTAAATCATAATAATTCATTTTTTAATTTATCAATTAAAGAAAATAATATATAAATAATATAATATATATTTATATTTTTTATTATTCATTTAATTAATTTGGATAATTTTTATATTTTGAATACTAAAAATAAAGAAATTTTTAAATCTATTATTTTATATAATACTATTACTTTTCTTTTAATTTAATTACTATTTTTTTCAAAATAATAAATGATTTTCTATTTGTTGTATTTTTAACAAAACATAACCTTTTTTTAAAAAAAAAGTCATTATTTTTTATTTCTTCTTATAATTTATACCTAATCTTTTACAAGGGAAACTTTATAAAAGTTATTTTTAATTATATTATGCCTTTTCAGAAAACTAATAAAAGGCGGTTTATTAATTATTGTTTTTTATATTTTTATGATTCAAAATATTTTTTCCCTGTCAAAAGTTCATAAATAAGTATCTCAAAAACCAAAAACTTAGCTAATTTATTGAAGGAGTGTTTAATAATAAAATCCGAGTCCAAAAAAATAGAGTTCCTATAAAATAAGTACATTTATTCTCTTTATTATTAAATTCACTAGCTAATTAGAAATATGATAATTTAATATATTCGTTTTGTTCAATTAATATATTTACATATTTTAAATTTCTATTTATATTTTTTATTCATTATATACATTATGGATTAAAACTAGTATTTTTTTTTACTAAAAAAGCCTATTTTTTATATCTTGAGAGTTTTTAAATTTATCTTTCTTTATATTTATATTTACTGTTTTTTTTATTTTATGAATAAAACGTAATTAATTTAACTTTTTATAAAATCGGATAATATCTATTAATTTATAAAAAGGAAGATTCATGTTTATATTTTCTCAATAAATTTCTCATTTGTATTTATAAAAAATTATTTATGTTTATATTTTATATTAAAAGAAAATTTAATTTTGAGATTATTATTTTAATTTATAAATACAAAAAAAATATAAAAAATAATTTATTATTTTAAAAAAATTTATGATTTGTAGTCAATTTAAAAAAATAAGGATTGTATTAAGATAAGATAAAAAAAATAAAGTTATATTTAATTTAATTTAAAAGATTTTTTGTATATATTAAAGGTTTAATAATTATTTTTATTTTAAAATTTTGATAATTTTTTTTTAATTAATTTTTTTTAATATAAAATTAATTAATTATAATGAAAAATATTTTGATTTATTTTTAAATATTATAATTAGCCGCAATTTATATATATATTTATATATTTATATATTTATATATTTATATATTTATATATTTATATTATATACTTAATTTTTTATTATTTTAATATAATAAACATGTAAAGCATAATATCAAACTCATTTTCTTTACAAGAAGAAATTTCACTTCCAAAACCAGAAAATTCTCTACATGATTTCAATAAAAAATTAGAAAAATCTTTCTATGGATATAAAGAAATAATTGCTGGAAATCTAAAAAATTTTTAAAAAATAACAGATTCTGAATTATAATATATATATTGTTCTTAGTAAGAAAAAGAATAAAAAGAAATAGAAAAACACGAATATACATAAGCATATTAATATGAAGATTAATTATATTTAATGTAAAAATATAAACATATATACATATCTTATTTTTAATTCGACATAAAAAAATTATAAAAAGATACATAAATGGTTTAAATATAGTAATTTTTTAAAAGAGTTTTTTTTAAAAAGAAGAAGAAAATAAAAAATAAGAAATAAGAAATTATTATGAAGAAAATATATGCAATTAAGTATTTTTTTTAAATAAAAATTCTCCTGAAAATACTCTATATTTACTTGTCCCTTTAAAAAACGCCAAAGTTTATTTTCTTTCTCTTAATTATGATGAAGATAAATAAGATTTACCTAAATTTATATTTTTATAAAATTGTTAGAATGAAAAAATACATACAATTTATTCATTAATCAAAAAAGAATAACCTTAAATATTAAAAATTGCTACATGTACATATAGTATGAGGGTATATATATATAATTTATAAGCTAAAGATCTCGTATAGGAAAATATAATAGTGAAAATTTAAGAAATAAAGGTTTTCGATAATCTAATATAGTAGATTTCTTCTAAAATAAGTCTATAGAATTCCTAATAATACCTTTTATCGGATTTTATATATTTAAGCCCGCATTTTATTTTATGTTTAGGTGAAGATTTTTGCATTAAATTAATAAACTTATCAGAAAATAGTATAAAAAGTTTAATAAAAATACCTTTTGATCCCGAAAATAATAATACGAGAAAAAATTTCGTTTTGGAAAATATAAAAATGGAGGTTTTTTTAAAAAAAGAACTTTAAAGAAATTTCGAATAAGAAATTTTAATTTTTTTAATATTAAAAAATTCTGAAATATAAAGGCAAATTATAATTTATTAAATGAATTTTTTTTCTATTTATACATTTTAAATTTAACATTTTTTTAGCTTAAATTGCCCTTAAGTGGTTTTAGATTTTCAAGTATTTTAAAATTCTGGCTTTTTTTTAATTCTAAAGGAGCTTTTGGGAATATAAAATAAAGTTTATTTTTGTAGTTTTGAGGATTTTTTTGAAAATCCACAGAGTTTTTTTGAAAGTAAAAAAATTTAGAGTCTAGAGGAAAATATTTTGGAATTTCAAAAGGAAGATTTAGATATTATTTAAAATGAAAATTATTAATTTTTTTTAAAGGAAAATTTTTAGGAAAAAAATTAAGAAAATTTTTAAAAAGAAAAGTTTTAAGAAAATTTTTTTTTAAATAGAATTTTTATGAATGATAGGTTTTAGTTAAATTTTTTAAGCAGTTTTTTTTTAGAAAATAGAGATTTTTAAAATATTTAAGAAATAAAAAAATGGAAAGAGGAAGTTTTAGAAGATTAAAGAAAATATTTCTTCGAAAAAAAAAACCTGAAAAATATGTTTAAAAACTTAACATAAAGTTATTAGATTTATAATTAAATAATAATAATATAATAATAATAATAATAATAATAATAATAATAATAATAATAATAATAATAATAATAATAATAATAATTACAATAATGTATTTGAATATAAATAGAAATTATCTTAATTTCCTATTATTATTCGTAAAAACTCTTTTTCTTTTCTTTTACCGTTTAATACGTTTCCTGAATTTCTTTAATGGAACATATAATAATATTAGTAAAAATCATCTTTATTTTGCCAAAACAACTCATTAATAGAAATTCTTTAATTTTCCTAAAAAAATTTACTACCATCATTAAAAAATCTTATTTTTTAGAATTTTCCTAATTTAATTTTAGCATTTTCCTAAAACTCGAAAAACCTTTTTTCGTAAAAAATAAATGAAAAGCTACTTTAATTTACTAAAAACAACCAAACAATAATCAGTGACCTTTTTAACATTTTAAAATCTACTTTTTAGGACGTTTAATTACTCGAAAACGATTAAAACTACTTAAAATACAGCTAAAATTTATCTTCTTGGTCTAAATATGTAATTTGCGGTAATATAAGGACTAAATTGAGAAATTTAGTTAATTTATAAATATCTATATTGGGAGTTTTGGATTATTTTTAATAAAATAAATTAAATTAAGAGATTGAAAATTTATATATTTGGAAGGAAAAAGTATCTATTTAGAAGGGTTTATGTAATTTTTTTGAATTTCCCTTGTTTTATTTCGATGAAATTCATTTTTTGGGTTTAAAGAAAAAATGCGGAATAAATTAGGAAAAGGTATACTGCGAAAATATATTTGAATTTTTTATTTAGGAAAACAAAAATTTTAAAAATATTTTTTTTTTAAATGAAAAAAAAACTTTGGAAAAATTTCCAATTATTGTACAAAAATAAACAGAGAAAATAGAAAATTTAATTTTTTAAGAAAATTTTTTTGGAAAATATATGATTTCTTAAAAATAGTTTTAAGCTATTTGCTTATTTTCAAAATTTTATACCAAAAAAAATATTTTCATATAGTATTTCTTGGCATTAAGTATACATTATTTATCTTAAAATTAAACTCCTTTAGCTTCTTTTGTTTACTCCTTTTTATATTTTGATAATCCAAAAGAATTTATTGTTGAATCTTTCTCGTTTATAGCTGATTAGTTATATTATAAACCAAATTTATTTTATTATGGACCTTGGATAGACGAATTAAATGATGAATAAATAATTTAGGAAAATAAATTTAATATATATTAATAAGAGGGTGTTCCTGAATCTATTAAATTTCTTCATTTATGCATAATGAGGCATTTTGAGTAAGAAAACGAGTTAAATTTAAGAATAAAACATGATTTAAGTTAAATAAGTTTAAAAATGTTTGAAAATAATGAAAATTAATTTTTAGAAAATGAATTTAAATTTAAATGTGTTTTAGATTTTTATATTTAATCTTTTAATTTTACAATTTATATTAAAGATGTTTATCAAGCTTTTAATTATGTGAAAAATATTTACGATTTACATGTAAAATAAAAATTTTATATAATTATAAATAAAAAAGTGAATATAAAATTTATAATATAATAAATATATATAAATATATAAAAATATATATATATATATATATGTGTTTATATTTTATATTTTATATACATATTTTTTTTTATTATTTTTTATAGATATAAATGCCTTTATTTTAATACATTTTTGATGATTGTTTATATAAATTTGTATCTTTTTTATGTAAGAATTATTTTTTGAATAAAATACATTTATTTGTATATGACAATGATTTATTTGAATAAGTATAATATTATTATTTATAAAAATAAAATATATATTTTTTATATTTTAATATTAGATAGAATAAAAAATAAATGAAAAAACAACAAATGATACATTAAAATTTTTAGATCAAATATAAGATTCTAATTTCACTACATAAGAAGTATTAATTTAACTGCTTTAAAATTTAGAAAAGTTAAATTATTCTCGCGATTTTTATATTTCTTTAAAAGATTATAAATAAGTAAACATATATATATAATTACATTTTATATATATATATATATATATATATATATATATATATACATTTTCATAAATTATTTAGGCTTCAATTTCATTATGGAAAAAATATTTACAAATGAATAAAATATATGAGAAAATAAATAAAAACCTTCCTAAAAAAGTTTATATAAAATTTATAGAAACATAACTTCATACACTATCATGTATTTAATCTTTATTTTAAATACTTAAAATTAATTAAAATGATACTTTAATATATAAATCTGATAAGAATTTTGAATAAATATATCCTATTAATATAAACAAAAAAATAATAACTTTTGAAGTAATTCTTTTTATTGAAAATGAAACTGGTGATATACCTTTATTATTATAAAATGAATAAATTATACAATATTTAATTGAATATGAATAATATAAAATGCTTATAAATTATTTGACTATTTAAGAGTAAGATTTAACTCCTTATATAGTATTTTTTATTTAGAAATACATAGAAAAAGAATAAAATAATGAAATTATTTAAATAGAAAAATACAACCAATTATTTTAATATCTTTTAGTAATAAACGAAGGATAAAATTATTTAAAATATCTATATTTAATAATAGAATAATATTCTTTTGAAGTATAGAATTAATAAAATAAAGCATTAAAAATTATAAAATTTGCAAATAATTTCAATAGATTTTATGCTATAGATAATTGTGTATTTGAAATTCTTGATAGATAAAACGAGAAAGAAGTAATTTATATATTTATATTTATTTATTTATTTTAAAAAAAGTTAATAACATAAAAAATTATTTAATATGCTAAAAATGCAGTTATAAATTCTAATTGTTGGTAAATAGATTAAAAAGTTATTAATTTATAATATATTTAATTTGAATATGTATTAAAAGTACACAATATATTTTCTTTTTAAATTTTTATTTTATATTTTTTAATTTTATTTTTATAAAGTCTGTTAGTTAAATAGGATAATAATAAACATAAATTTTATAATAAATAAGTAAACTTTTTAATTTTGAAAGATGATATATTATTTATATTTAAAAAAATATATATAATTATTAAATAATAAAACATATAACATTATAATTTAATAATAAATATTTATTTAGTAATATATATAAATATATATATTTATATATATATATATATATATATATATATATATTTTAATATTATTATTTTTTATAATTTTTTTTTTTTTATTTTATATTTTTATTTATTTATTTTTATTTAATTTTTTATTATGTTTTTAAATTTATTTATAATAAATTTAATTATTTTTTTTATTTTTATTTTTATTATTTATATTTATTTATATTATTATAAATAATTTTTATGGTTATAAAATGATAAATTAATATAAAAGATAATCAATAAAAAAGTAATTTTTCGTAATTTATTTTTTAAACCTTTTAAAGTAAAAGTTTACTTCTAAATAATTTATTAGATAAAAACATATAATTAAAAAAAGAATTAGATGATTTAAAATAGGAATATTTTTAAATTTTCAATAAAAAAACAATCTATACAATAAAATAAGAGAAACTTACATTAATCTAACAAGAATAAAAAATATAATAATATAAATATAATATTAATTAATAATAATAATTATTAGATGATACTTATATTAATTATGTGTATATTTTATTTAAAATAAAGAAAAATAATTATTTAAATAAATTTAAAAAATATTATAATTAAATAGTATAATTGATAAATAAAATGAACTAATAAATATAAAAAGATAAATATAATGTTTAATTGAATAAAAAAGGATTTTTAAACTGTTAACTATATTTAAGAATCATAACTAACTTCTAATAATGCAATTAAAAAAACTTAATATGATGTGTTTTTTAAAATTATATATAAATATTTATTATAATTAATATATAAATAAATACAAATATAATTATAATATTTATATAATATAAATATTAAATATATATATATATTTATTTAATATTATAATATATTTATTATTTATTTTTTTGTATAAGAATAATAAAATAAGAAATAATATCGTGATTGAAAAGGAAGAATAAAGAAAATTACTTTCTTAAATTTAGGAAAAAGAAAAAGAAATAATGATTTATCATGAATAAATTATTTAATCAGAGTAAAAAATAAAAGAGTTAAATTAAATTATTAATAAAAATAAAAAATTTCCAAAATAATAAGAAGATGAAGAAGTTTTTTTTAAAATATTTTTTTTATATATTTTAATTACAATAAAATAAAAGAAAAAAATTATATAATTAGAAAATGAGATATCAAATTATTAAAATTAAAAAATAGAAATTTTAAATAAAAATAAAGAAAAATTAAATTTTTATTTAAAATAAAAAAATGAACTTATAAATTCATTAGATTAAATTTAATAGATTTCATAAGAAAAATAAATTTATTTATAAACTTTATAATAATAATAATTTTCAGAAAACCAATCAAATCTTAGATATGTAAAAAATTAAAAAGATATTATTTTTAATTTATAAAGTCTAATGTTTATTAAAATAATAAAAAAATAAAATAATAATATTTTTGAGTTTTTATTAAATTAAAATATATTTAAGTAATAAATTTATAATCATCATTAATATAATATTTTTTTTTATTATTAAAACAATAAAGAAAATGTATTTATGAATATAAGATTTATAATTTAAAAATCATAGATAATAAACTAGAAAAAAAAAGAAAAAAATATATTATTATAATATCTTTTATATTTATTATATCAAAAATATAATTTTTAATAACTAAATAATTAATAATTGTTTAAAATACAAAAATTTGCTTAAAACATATATATATATATATATACAAAAAAAAAAAATATGCATATTAATAATTTAAACAATTAAAAAAAATTCCTTTATAAAAACTTGATATACAAAATATACATATAAAAGCAGCAAAAATATTAAAATTTTGCTTAAAAATTAACTATATATATATATATATATATATAACAACTAAAAAAAAAAAAAAAAAAATCAAAATTCACAAACATCCCTAGCCTCTGGAAAATATTTTAAATATTCTTCAACATCTTTTTATTTATCTTCTTCATATTATTCTTAGATTCCTAAAACAAGGTCAATAAAGCACATTTTTACATAATGGTCCCTTGTTTCATCATCGGTTTCACAATCATCATCAACACTAATTTACTGCACTTTTTATTAGAAAAAAACTGGGACGTTAAGGTCTTTATCGTCAAAGCAATTAAATTCATAAAATTTAGTTCTATTGTTTTTATTTTATTCATATCTTAATTTTTAATGCTTTTTAGTTTAAGTACTTAAAATTTAACTTTTCATTCTTTTGAAAGGAAATTTGAAATCAGCATTTTGCTCTAAATCTTTTGTGTTTAAATTTACAAAGATATTTTTTATACTATCACAGTTTTTTTTTGTCGGATAATTTTTTAATTCGGATGTTTTTACTATTTGTAAATTTTTCTAAGTTTGTTACGGTTTTACAGTGTTTTTTTGTTCACTGTTTTATACTTCCTTTGGCTTTTTAAATAATGATAAAACTCCTTATATGTTATTGCTTTGTTATTTATTATTATCCCTAAATAATGGAGATTAAATTATTTTTTAATGCCTGCTGGATAGTATGCTTTAACTGTTTTCTTATTAAGACATGTTTTATATATTTATTTGTTTATTTTTTTATTTTACTTTCTAAGTAAAAACCAGTTTTTATATATAAATATTTTTTAATTTAGGTTCTATATATTAAGTTTTTTTTTAAAAAATAAAATAAAAAATTTAAATTATTAAATCCGCGTAGATTTAAATTATAGTAAATAACTAATTAAATATATAATATATTAACAAATAAAAAAAAATATTATTAAGGCTATATTCTTTAAAAAAATAAAAATATTAAAAATGTAGTAAATAAAAATATAAAAAATATATTAATTTTTTTAATTAAATTAAAAATTTAGATAAATTAAATAAAAATTGAAAATAAAATAATGGTAAATAAATATAAAAAAGTATAATAAAATACTAAAATAAAATTAATATTATAATTTTATTTTATATTCTTATTATTTATTTTATTAAAATTTAAATTTCTTTTTTTTAAATAATATATAAAAAAAGTTAATATAAATTTTATTTTAAAAATAATAAATAATATTTAAAAATATATTAAATATTTAGATTTAATTTAAAAATTAACTAATTTTTAAAATTCTAATTTTTTTAATAATTATAAAAATATATTTTATATAAAACACATTTAAATATAAAAAATAATATTAAAGAAAATTTTATTAAAAAGTTAAATACTTTTATTTATAATCAAATAAAAAAAACTCAATAAATAATAAAAATATATAAAATAAATATATTAATTATTATTAATATATTAATTTTATATTTATTAAAAATATATTATTTTTAATATATAATTAATAGAAAAATAAGCAATTAACTAATATATTCATATAAAAAAATTTATTTTTAAAAAGTTTTTTTATTTAATTTTACATTTAATTATCATTTTTATATAAAAAATATAATTAATAAATAATAAAAATATATATAAATAAAAAAATATGCAAAATATTTAAAATACAAAAATTAATATATAAATAATCGTTAAATATATTTATTTATTATTTTTAAAAATTAAATTTCATTAATTATTTTTATAACTAATTTAAAAAAAGTTATCACAAGCAATAATAATCATTCCTTAATGTAAATTAAAATAATTTGAACTTTATTTATATTCCAATGGTTTAAAAGTGGAAGTAACAATGCCTGATGTTTCGATATTTCCTTAATAATTAGGATCTTATATAATCCATTTATTTATATCAAAATTATATATAAAAATACAATGAACAGGTAAAATTCCCAAACCACATTAAAAAATTATATCACACTCAGAGGACGTACCAAATTTTATAACATTTTTATTTTTAAACTACAAACATTAATTACTATTCGTAAGAGTTTCTAATCCCCAATAAACGTCAAATTCTAATTCTAAAATATTTCCATATTTTTAGCAATCAAATTAGATATTACTATTAGGGAATATTTTATTTAGATTTTCTTATTAGTCATCAAATTATTATTATTATTATTATTATTATTATTATTATTATTATTATTATTATTATTATTGTTATTATTAAGTATTTTAATTGTTATTTTCTTTATTTATATTATACTGTTTATTATCCTTTAGCATAATTTCCATCCTCTTCATCTTCACTACTATTACCATTATTTTCTTAATTTTCTTAAACTATTTAATTTAGTATTCCTTTTTGTCTTTAGAAAGTTTACTCTAGTGCATTTTACATATCCTATATTAAGTTTATTACATTACTATTAGAATTGTTTTATAAAAGTTTTTTTGATTGATTTTCTCTTTAATTCATATAATTTATGTTCATATAAGCTTTTTTATCTAATGTTATTTCTTCTTCATCTATATTATTTTTTTGTTCTTATATTTATTATATTTAATTTGATTTATTTTATAATACAGTGCATTTTTTTACCGAAAAGCATACTTTATTATTTAGTGTAAATGCCGATTAAGCACTTATTAAAGCTCCCTGTTCTTAAACTAAAAACTCTGTAGGATTAGTTGTAGAAACGCAACAAATTTAATACCCTTTCGAGTAATTATATTTAATAACGAATTATCTTTTGCTTATCAAAGTTTATTTTTTTCCAAATTTTAAATCACAAGGGACAGTATTTCTTGATGTTTATCGTCCAAATCGGACAGTTGAGCCTATTGCTTTTGATTCGTTTTGATCATCCATTAATCCTCGTTTATTAATGCGGATTACACGTGGAAATTCAGGTGGGAGATCTTATGATTATTTTATAAGAGTTAACTATAGTATTTTATTTTCTTCAATTTTTTATTATTCTAAATAATTATCAAATTTTTTATTATCTAAAAATTTGTTTCTTTCAATTAAATTGGACCATATAACTTAAAAAAATTATTCGATTTAACGAGGTTTAAGTTTATTTTCATTATAAATATCAATATAAAATTTTAATTTTTCTTTATGTAATGTATCAATAAAATCTATAAAATTTATATATATAAACATTATATTTATATATATTTAATAAAAACCTTAGTTATTTTATAATAATTATTTAAGACAAGAAAAAAAATCGTCTAGAGTTAATTCAGATTATAAATCTTTTAATAATTCTGCATTAATAGCCACAAAACAAATATCTAAATTAAATTGTTTTTCTAGTTTTAATTTTTAATATTAAGTATAAGATTCCTTCAATTTATAATCGAAGTTTATTATTTCGCCTTGTGTTAGTTAAAAAAGATAGTTTTATTATAAATTTATTACTGATCTATTTGATAATATTGAAAATATTTATATCATTTCATCAAATAATACACTTATATTATTAAAATATTGATAATATTTTTAGTTTTGAAATTAGCTTTAATTTGAAAAATAATCTTACTTTTTTATTTTTAATATAAATAAATAATTTTATATATGTATATATTTTTTTCATTACTTGTTACATTTCTTATATTATTTTCTCAATTGCTATTAAATCTTGAGTTAGTTACTATAATTTATTGCTTATTTATTATTCCTCATTTTATTCTATATGAGTAAAGTTTTAAAGAAAAATTATTTCAAACCAATTTTCTATTGTCCATCTAATTACTTCCATATAGTATTTCTTTATTTGGAGTTTTTATTGGTTTTCTTTGATGATATTAATAATACTTTATATAGTATTCATTAAATTTTGTAATATTTATTGATTGCCTTTAGAGAAAAAACTAATATTCATTTTATTAAATTATTTATATTAAATTTTGAATTAATTTTAAGTTTTATTAATTTTTTTATTTATTTTTTTATCAATATAGTTAAATCATATATTAGATTTGATTTTTAAAAAAATTAATAGATTATGGATAATATTTTTATTTATATATATTGAAAATAAAATAAATAAAGGTAGTCAATATAATATAAAATAAAAGTTTTTGTTTATATATATTTTTTTGTATAAAAAAAAAAAAATATTAAAAATATATATTTTTTTTTTCTAAAATATAATTTTTAAACACATAATTTTATTTTCAAACCTTAAATTAATTTAATATTTAATTTTATCAATAATTTAATTCTTTTAACTATTCAATAGTCATATTTGATGTTAAAGAAAGTTTATCTTTCTCTATCATATCTTAATATTAACTAAACATACTATATATATTATTTTACTCAGAAGTGTAATAATATTGCTATATTTATTAATTTTTTTAATTAAAAACTATTTAAATAAAAATATTTTTATAATATTTACTAATAAAAATACACACAAACTGGAATAAAAGTAGGCAATAATTAATTTATTACTTTAATAATGCTATTTATTAATATTAATTTTTTTATTTTATTAAGAGTTAACAAAAAAACATTTAATATTTTTTTTACTTTATATGATAAAAATTCTTTTCTTCCTTATTTTATTTTCAATGTGCTAAAAATATTGTGTTATGCTATTTTTATAAACTATAAAAATAATTTAGAAGATTCATAATAATAATTTAAAAATATAATTATGATAATACATTTCCCATATAATAAATTATAATAATATGTGTATTTTTTTTATTTTAATAATTTTTTTTTTATTTATTATAATAAAAAAATAAATAATATTGTAAAATTAGATTTATCCCGAATAAAAAATAAATTTATTATAACTATTTTAAACGAAAAACCAAAAAACAGAAAAATAGAAAAAAGATATTTAATCTATAAATATATAACATATATAAATTAATAATCCGTCATATAATTGTTAAAGATTAATTTAATAATTAATTATATAAATCATACATCAATTTAAATATCATTAGAATAAAGAAATATATAATATCAAAATAATTAAATATCTATATATATTAATATAATTTAATCTTATCTATATATTATATATAATAAATCTCAAAAAAATTATTTTCAAAATAATAAATAAATTAAAAAAAATAAAATAAAAAAAAATAATAATAACTAAAAAAAACTAATAATAATATTAAAAACTACTAAAATAAATGAGAAAAAGAAGAGGAGCCTTACATAGTGATTCTTTGGAAGAATTTATATAAGTAAATATTATAAAAATATATTTTCTTTTATTAATTATTTTTAATTTTTAAAAAAAGTTAGCTGAGTTTGTCGATAATAGCTAAGATCAAATGAATATTTATTAGTTGAAAAATTAAATAAATATTGAAAACTAATAAAAAGAATAATAATAATTATTACAAAACTAATAATAAATAAATATTTTATTTGAAAATGCTATAAAAGAAAATACTATAAATCAACTAATAATATTAACTATAATAAAGTAAAAATTTATAATTAAAATAAAAATAATGTTAATATATTAATTTTAAAATAAAAGAGAGTTTATAGTAAATTTTTTGATAGATATTTTAAATAATAATAAATTGATATAAAAGAGTAAAGAACTTTTTAAAAAAGAATATAAAACTCATCTAAAAGAATTCTAAGAGATTATTTTATAATTATTTATAATATACATGATTTTCTATTTTCAGATTTGAAAACAAAATTGTATTTTACCTTTGTATTTTATTTTATAATATTGTATAATAATCAAAAATATTTTTTTCAATTGAATTTTCAAAATTATATTATTTTATAAAAAAAAAAATATATATAATTAAAAAATTTGATATTTATTAAAATTAACCTAAAAAATTAAATTATAAAAATATACAACATATATATAAATTTTGTTTTATTATAATATAATTTAAAATTAATTTATAAAAATATTAAATTTTTTCTATTTATAAATCAAAAATTATAATTATAATTTATAAAATTATAAAAAATATATATAAATAAATTATAATTATAATTATATTTATATATATATAATAAATAATATCTATAATTTTTAAATTAATAAATTTCTTTGGAATAATTATATATATGAAAAGAAAGATATAATAAAAAAATAGAAAATAAATTGAAATAACATAAAATAAATTTTATTATCAAAAAACAATAAATCAATAAATATTTAATTAAATTTATTATAAATACAATATTAAATAATGTATATTTAAATAATAAATATTCATAATAATAATAACTGAATAGATGTTATTATTTTATATCCAAAAAAATAAAAAATATTTTTGGTTTTTATTTTTAAAATAAATTATATATAAACATAACATTTTTATCTTAAAATAAAAAAATCTAATTTGATTTTATTATTTAATTTAACTTAAAGTTTCTTAAAATTAAAATATTAAATTAAAACTAAAAAATATTATTAAAGAACATTTGAAAATTTTTTCCATTTATAAAAATAATTTAAAATAGTTTGCTCAAAATAATATTAAAGTTATTTTTTATGAAACAAAATAAATTTAATAGAATAATATGTATAAAAAAATTGATAGTTTTTATAAAAAAATATAAATGAAATTAAATAAATGATTATTTATTTATTTATTAATCTTACATAATATATAAAAAATAAAAAACTTCAAAAACTTCCAAAATTTAATGAAATATCAATTTCTTAATTTAAATGAATAATTTTTTTTTTTGAAAAATTAAGCTTTTTTATTTATCTAATATATTATATTAAAATATTATAATTACTAAATAAATAAAATATATAATTTAAACAAAAATAAAAATTAAAGACTTATAGTTTATATTTTCAATTTAATGTATTTAATAACAATATCTAATTAATTTTAATTTTTTTTTTGTTAAAAATATATATTATTAAATTTTTAATAAATAATTTAATAATATAATTTAAATATAAGATAAAAATAATAATAATACAATGTTTAGTATAATATTTATATATATATATATATATATATATATATATATATATATATATATATTTTATATATATATTATATTAAAGAGAATAAAAATTAAAATAATAATAATTGTATTGAATATAAAATGATATATTAATAATATGAGATTTATATTACTTTCTTAAACTAAAAAGAATATTTTTTAATTAGTAGTTATGTACAAGATATAATAAATATAACAAATATTTATTTTACATGAATTAATATAGATGCTTTTATTTTTAAATAATTATTTAATTAATTAATAGATTTAAAAGTAAGAAACTGTATTTAAAATAAAAAGCATACTTAAAATACAATAAAAATATTATTCTATATAATTGAATAAAATTAATTTTTAGTTCGAAAATATTTAATCCTACTAATTATATTAATACTGTTTTTACTTAAAACTATTATATTTTTTAAAAAAATAAAAAAAAATATTTTAAATGTTTTTGGTTTAAATTAAAATAAATTTTAGATGAAGATTTTTTATTTATAAATATACTAAAAAAACATTGATAATAAAAATTAACAAATTCAAAAATATCTATTTTTTTTACAATATATTTTTGAAAAATAAATAGCATAATTTATACAAATAAAATATTCAAAAATTTATTAATTTTTTGATTGCTAATATATGTATATATATTTATGGATTTTTTCTTTTTTAATAATATAAATTTAGCATTTAATTAATATTTATATTTAAATCTAGTAAGAAAAAATAAACTTTAATAATAAATTTTTAACTATACTATATCTATTTAATAAGATTTTCTTTACAGTTTTATCATAATTTTTGATTAAATTATTTTTATTATTATCGTTTTGCTACTTTTTTTATATTATTAATAAAAATTATTCATAATAATATTAAAATGATAAGTATAAATGTATTTTTTAAGTAACTTTTTGATTAAATTTTATATTAATTGGACTTTGATTTATCTTTCTATATTATTTTTTTATGAATAAAAAAAATAGATAAAAAAGAAAAAAGGGAAAAATATACTATACATTAATATGATAAAAATTATCGGGTTTGTTATTACATAATAAAAAGAAATATTTTATGAATATTAATTTTTTTTTTTATTACAAAAAAATATTTTTTTATCTTGAAAATTAATAAAATAGTTAATAAAATGATAATATGTTTTTACGATAAAAAAATTATATATATAAAAAAGCAAAAATATACAATTATATTTATAAATATTATAAAATAACTATAATAAATTTTTAAAAAATATTCTATTTTAATAAATAGTTATTGTTAAAATATATAAATATTTATATTTAAGATAAACAATAAAAAATATAAAATATAAAAAAAAGACAAAAGTAAAAAATATGTATTATTAACACAATTTTAAAAAAATGAAAGAAAATATATGTATATATTATAAAAAATATATATATATATAAAAAAACATAATATATATATATATATATATATATATATATATATAATAATATTAATATATATATATATATACTAAATTATAATAATTAACTAATTTAAATACAAATAAAAAATAACAAAAAAAAAACATAAAAATCAAAAAAAAAATGGATTCATAAAGACGCGTAGCATATTTTTATAATAATGAAATTGGCAGATACAATTACGGAAAATTACATTTAATGAACCCAAAAAGAATATCAATGGCTCACTCCTTGATAGTTGGTTATGGAGTATATAAAGACCTAGACGTATATACTACTAGAGAAGCAACAAAAGAAGAAATAATGTAATTCCATGACCCCGAATACGTCGAATATTTATCAAATTATGTAGCCAGTAGTAGAATTGAATAATTAAGAAAATTAGGTTTTGAAACACCTAAAATAGATGATAATGTAAAAAACGATTAAACAAAGAAAACTTAATTTGGTATAGACGTATAAGCTGATTGCCCCGGATTTGACGGATTATTTACATTTAGTTAATTATCGACAGGTACATATAAATTAATATATATATATTAATTTATATATTTATATATTTTTATATATTATATATGTTTAAATATATTTATTTTTATTTTTTATTTATATTCAGGAGGATCTATAGATGCTGCACATTTAATTATTAACAATGCTGCTGATATTGCTATTAATTGGGGAGGAGGATTGCATCATGCTAAGAAATGCGAAGCATATGGATTTTGTTATGTAAATGACATTGTTATTTGTATTTTAGAATTACTTAAAGTTTTTCCAAGGGTACTTTATATAGATATTGATGTTCATCATGGAGATGGTGTTGAAGAGGTCTTTTTTTACCACAAATAGAGTTATGACAGTTAGTTTTCATGAATTTGGTGAAGTATTTTTTCCCAGGAACTGGCGGCTTGAATTCTTTAGGTGAAGGTATTGGAAAAAACTATGCCGTTAACATTCCCTTAAGACCTGGAATGGACGATGATAGTTATAATTAATTATTTAAAAATATAATGAATAAAGTCATGGAAGTATACAGACCTGATGTGATAGTTTTTTAGACTGGAGCTGATAGTCTTGCGAATGATAAAATTGGGCATTTTAATCTTTCAATAGTTGGACACGGGGAATGTCTTAAATATATGATGGGATTTGGAGTTCCTATGGTTGTTTTAGGGGGTGGAGGTTATACTATATAAAATGTTAGCCGTTGTTGGGCTTTTGAAACTGGTTTAATGGTACATAAAAAATTAGAAGGACCTATTCCCGTAGATGACCCTTTTTTTCATTTATATGAAAAATAGACTAGCTTACATGTACCGATTTTACAAGTTGAAAATAAAAACTCTAAAGAAGAGTTAAATAAAATCTAAGAAGAAATATTTAAATAATTAAAAGAATGTGAATGTTCGCCTAATGTTTAATTTAATAATGTACCTAAAACATTCGTTTATGATGATGATGATTATATGGAAGAATGTGAAGAGGACGTAAATCATGATTTTTAAATTAGTTAAAATTAAGAAGCTTTTGCTTAGTATATTAATGGATATATGACTAGTGAGAGATAACTAGATGTTAGAAAAAGCCCACTTTTAATATAGAAAAGAGAAAGAAACAATTTTATATGATTAATATTTTTTTATACTTTTGGAGATGTAGTATTTAATATTAAATATTTTTAATATAAATTATTATTAAAAAATTTTAAATATATATATATTTATATTTATATATATTCATTATTAATTATGTATAATTATAAAAATTATATATATTTATTTTACATTATTCAATTATTATATTTTAAAATTTTTAATTTTTTATAATTTTATTTATTTTATATTATATTAACAATTTAAAAATACTTTTTTCCTTTGTTTGTAAAAATAATATTAGTCATTTAAATATTTTTATAATTTTTATAATTATAATAAAAAATAAAAATATATATTAATAGAAATTTAAAAATAATAATAATAATATTTATTATTATTATATATTTTTTAAAAAATAATTATTATTTAATTTATTTTATAAAAAATTTTAATTATTTTTAAATTAGTATTTTTATTATTATTATTATTATTATTATTATTATTATTAATATTATTTTATTATGTTTATAATATTATTTTTTTATAATATATTTTATTATTTTAATAATTAAATATATTTTTCAATATATATTTTCTTATTATTATTTTTCTTTAAAATATTCTATATATTAAAGTTATGAAATATATGTTCCTTTACTAACTGTAGAAAAATAATATTAATATTTGCGTAATTTTTCTGGTTTATTTTAATTAAGTATTCTACTTCTTTTTTTATTTGTTCCTTAAGCCTTAGGTCTTTCAATAAGTTAAAGATTTTTTTTTGGATTATATTTATCAGTTAGTCCAGGTAGTGAATAAGCTTTATTATAAATATAATATAGGTTATTAAATAACTAATATATAAATAAATATATATATATATATAATATAAAAAATTTAAATATATATATAAATATATTTTATTTATTATATTTTTTTTTTTTTATAATATTTAATTTTTTATTTTTATAATTTTTTATATTTACCTTTATTTCCTTATTATGTCGGTTCGAATATTTAAGGAATATCATAGTAGTCTTTTCCATCATATGTTCCTAATATAGGTCTAGGCATTACTGAATTTGGTAGCGGGAATATCATTTTTCTTTTTTTTTTTATTATTAGTTTTATTTTTTCATTTAAATAAATTTTACTAGTTTTTTTTATATTTAAATTTATGTATAGCATTTAAATTTTCAATATTTGCAATTTCATTAAATTTATTAACTTCTTCTGTAGCATTTATTTTAAAAGCTTAGTCTTCTTTTTAATAGAATTCTCTCAAAACCTTATTTTTTTTTATTTTTTTTTATTTTTTTTTTATTTTTTTTTACTTTTTCTGCTTTTGCTTCTGAATAACCTTTATCCACTAAAAAATCTTTAAATTCATTTCTAGAAATAGGTGTAAATTAATCAATTTTTTCATCAACTGATAACTCTTATTATTAAATCTTTTACATAAGTCTATTTTTTTCCAAAACTCTTCTTAATTAAACTTTTTCATCTACATTTTCTTTATAAATCTAACTTTCATCTTTAATTTATTAGACATAATTTTATTTTTTTTCGGCTCTTATCATTTAAGTAAACAATCTATTAATTTTTTCTATCAAAACACGTCTTCTTCCTGCATTAATTTCGTTAATTTAATCATTATAACTTGCTAATTCTTTTTACATTTAATTTAATTCTTCTTTTATTTCTTTTGATTATAATGATTAAATAGTATCAGGTTTTGCAATTTATTTTATTATTTCATTTTGCATTTATAATTGTCTCATTAATTTCATTTCTTCTTCTTAATCAATAAACTTTTTTTTTTTTTTTTTTAAAAAAAAAAAAAATATTTCGTACATCTAAAATTTGACTTCTGTTAAATCCTTTAAGTCTATAAACCTCTAAACCCATAGTATTTCTAGGTTATATAGGCTTTTTTTCATATTATGTTTTATATCCTATATAAATTAATTTATATAAAATTTTTATTAATTAAAATATATATAAATATATATATTTATATATATATATATATATATATATATATATATATATATACATATATACTTAAACACATATATTATAATTTAAAAAATTATTACATTTATAGTTTAATATATAATTAAATTATTTATTTAAATTTTTTTTTTTAATTTACCATATTTTGGTAATGGAGGAACAGCTAAATCAAAATAAGATAAAAATTTTTAGACTTTAGGTGTTAATTAAGCTCCCATCTTTTATAATAAATAAATTAATTTTTATTTAAATTATTTTTATTTTTTTTATTTTTTTTTATTTATATTTACTGCAATCCAATATTTTGCTCTTTCTTTATTTAAAACAATTTCTCTTTATATAATTTTACCATGACGAGGTTGCCACCAACCAATATGTTCAAGATATCTTCCGTGAGGGTTTTTCATGGCGGGAATTACAATAATTTTCCTTTTAAAAATAAATAATATTTATTAAAAAGAGTATTTAAAATTTGTATTTATTATATTTAATCATGATTGATTATATTTATTTATTATTGATTTTTATTTTTTATTGATTTTTATTTTTTATTGCTAAATATATACCATCTTGGATGATTTTTAGGCCCTACACTTTATAATTTTATTTATACTCTCATTTTTATTATTTAATATATATATTTTTAATAAAATAAAAAGTTGATATTAAAATAAAAGTATTTTATTTATTATTTTTTATATTTTTTTTTATTTTTAGATATATTAAATATTTTTTAATTTTATTTCTAAAATATTATAATTTAATATCATTCATAAAAAAAAATATATTAGTATATTTATGTAAACAATAATTATAAAAAAAAACATAAAAATAAAAAAAAAATTGTTAATAATAATAATTTTTGATATATAATTAAAATATTAAATTAAAAATAATATTAATTAAATTTAATATATTTATTAATTTAATATAAATATTCATATTTATTGCTATATAATTATATATTTTTTATCACAAAAAAAAATTACTATTATTTTATTAATAGTTTTATTATAAGAAGTATTAAAAATTTTAATTTCTAATTATATTAAAAAGTAATAAATATATAATAATAAATACATTCTTTTAATATTAAATTATATAATTTTATTACAATTAGATTTTTTTAAAAAAAATTAATCGATATAAGTTTTAATACAGGAAATTAATTATATTATTTAAAGTTAATTTTTTTTAATCTAAATTAAAAAAAATCATTGAAGAAAATTGTTTTAAAAAAATAAAATATATGTTTAGCCAATAAAATATTTTCTATTTTTTTAAAAAAATATGAATAAATAAATATTATAAATAAAATATATTTAATCTAATAGATTTCTATTGTAATATTTTCTATATTAATATTTTTATATAGAAATAAAAAAAAGAAAATAATAGTAAAAAAATAATATATTATAAATTTTGATAATATTTAAAAAAATTAATATATTAGAAAAAAATCATATATATATAAATAATTATATATTATTATATAAATTTCTAAATATATATATACTTTAAATAATTATAAATAATTATTATATTTATAATAATATATTAATATATAATTTCATTTAAATATAAATAATTAATAACAATTATTATAATTATTTTTTAAAGAAATAACTTTTATTTATTTAAAAAAAAGAAAATATAATGAGTTATAATTAAATTGATTTCAAAATATATTTAGTAAAAGATTTAGAATGTGAAAAAAAACGTATACTTAAAATATTTTACACGATATTTCTTAAACTTAAATTTTATAAATATTTACTCAAAAACCTTAATAAAATATTAACTAATAGTAATATTCAGATGATATTTAATCATATTTAGATGATGAAATTCATAAAAATGTGGGATAATGTATCTTAAAATATATAAAAGAGAATAATTATGAAAATATAAAAAAATATTTTGACGATAATATTTATAAATGCAAATAATTTAAAAATTATTTCTGTTAAATATTAAAATAATTAAAAAACTAAATATAATATGAAACTTTTATTTATAATATTTAAAATGAAGATTTAAATTTAATTATGTAAATAGTATTTAAAAAATATCTTACTAACTAGTTCTAAAAAGATTGTTAGTTAATAAATAATAATTAAAAAATATGTTAATAATTTGAAAATTATTATGTTTAATTATTGGAATAAACTATAAAAATATTATGAAAAAACTAAAATAAATAATAATAATAAAAGTAGATGAATTATATAATATAAATATAATAATTATTTAAATTTATAAATTAGAAAATATTTTATTGGTTATATATAATTATTTTGTAATTTTAAATGAAGATATATTATATTTATTAAAAATAAAAAAAATAAAAAAATTAAAGATATTTATTATAAATATTAAAAATATTATATATAAATATGAATATAAAAATAATTAAAAAAATAAATATATAAATATGTATAAAAATATATATATATTTATATATATATATATATATATATTATTTTAATTAATTTTTTAAACATAATTTTATTTATTTTTATAATGTATATAAATTTATATATATTTAATTTTTTTTTTTTTTTTTACAATATATTTTAATAAACACATTTTTATTTTAAAATTCTTTTTTTTTATTTTTTTTAATTTTTAATTGTATTTAATAATTTTGATAATCCTAATTCTTTTAATTAAATTTTTATAAATGCTTAATTTTTTTTTTTTTAAATATTTAATAATTTTTTTCCATTTTTTTATATAATAAAAGATATATCGAAATTTTATATCTAAAAAGTTATTTTTTATTATTAAAAAATTATATTATTTATATATATTATATAAAATATTTTTAATTTAAAAAAAAAAATAAAACTTTATATATGCTATTATTAAGGATTTTACTTTAAGAATAATAATCATAATTTTTTTTATAAAATATTATCATACCTAATATATAAAAAAAAATTATAAACAAAATATTTTATTTAAAATAAAAAAAAGATCTATTTATAAATATATTTAATTAAAAAAATAAAAATATTAAATATAAAATAAATTAATAATATTTTTATGAAAATCAAAAATATTTTTAATAATATTTTTTTTTTTTATTTACCTAAAATAAATTAATTAATAATTTTACTTTTTTAAATTTTTTTTTTTTTTTGATTAAAATATGTAAAAAAAATTAAATTTTATAATATTTATATATTATAGAATTGTTAAATAAAATAAATTGTTTTAATACATATAATTATAATAAAAATTATTTTATAATTTAATTTTTTTTATATATAACATCTATATTTTTTGATTTTGCGTCATTAATTATTTTTATTTTTATAAAAAAATTAATTACGTTTTGTACTTATATCTTTAAAAAAATTAAAAAATAATAGTTAAATATATAGTCTAATTTTTTGAGTAATATAGGTTTAAAATCTATTTAATTATTTATTTAACAGTATTATATTTATATATAATTTTATTTAAAATTCGCTTTTTTATGTATTTTAATATATTTTTTTTTTTTTCTAAAAAAAAAATAATCATGTAAAATATGACTTTTTAGCTGTCTTTCTTTTCAGAAAATCAATAATCTTAATATCTTTAAAGCTTAGTAATATAAATTCCACCATAGAAAAATGTCCTATTAAATCATTAGCTTTACTATTTTAAGCCCAATTGTAAATTGGTCCTTTTAAAAAGTATTCAAGTATAGAGCCATAGTTTTCATGTAATATTAATAATCTTAAAGTGTAATGGTTGAATTTTTTAGAATTAATATATCGTTTGAATTTTTTTATTATTTCAGGCAATGTGCTTGTAGGAGATTCATTGATATTATATAAGCTAACTATTTTATGGTTTATTTTTGGAGTATTTTTTAATTGGGAGTCTATTATAAATTTTTAAATGCGTTCATTATATTTTTGACAACGTTCTTCTTGTTAGAGTTTTTCAAATTTTATATTGTTTCTAATTTATCTTAATATTTAATTTACGTTGATTATATTTCAGTTTCCATAATTTTAATTTTCTTTTAGTTGTTTATTTTTATAAATTATTTATTATATTTTTTTATTTTATTTTTTGTACTATAAAAATTCATACTTAAAATATTATATTTGTAATAGAAAAAATTAAATTTACATGTATCGATAGTTGTTTATGTATTTTTTTTTTTTTTTTGATATTTTAAGGTTTTTAATTAATAAAGTGATATTTGTTTAATAAATTTCATTTTTAGGTATTTTAATAAATAAATAATTTTGGTTTAAATATTAATTTTGTTTTATTAATTTTCAAAATTTTTTAAATTATATTCTTGGGATCTTAGAAAAAAGAATATTTTATTTTAAATAATTTATATAAGAAATTTAATTATTAAGATATTTAAAATAAATTTACCTTAATAAGAAAAAAAAAAAAAAAAATTAAATGTTATAATAATATTTTCATAAAAAAAATATTTAAAATCAAATTTAAAATTAATTTAAAAAAATTATAATATAATATATAGATGTTTTAATATTTAATTTTATACTTTGATAGATTTATTAAGTATTTAATAGTCATATAATATTTAGAAATATATGATAAATGAATTATAGTTGTTTGTCTCCTAACTTAAATTATATTAATTTCCTATTATAATTATATTCTATTCGAATTAATTTTTGTCTATTTGTTTATTTATTTTGAAAATCGAAAAACATTACATTAAATTTATATTTTTAAGTAATATATATTTATAAAAATAAATAAATAAAAAAAAATACCATTTTTAATTATTAAAGATGAAATTTATTAGAAAATATATCAAATAATTCATGATATAATTTCTATATTATATTTCTTTAAAAAAAAAAATTAATAATACTATATATAATTAAATTTTATGTTTTTTTATAAAATGAAATAAAAAAATTATATATATATTTAAAATTATTATATTTCATTTATAAAATTTTATGTATGTTTATTGTCGAATTAATTAAACACAATATATATTTATATTGAATATATTTTTTTAGATATTTTTAACATATTTTATAAAATTAAACAAATAAATAATATTATTTTATACTTTTAAAGCATATATATTAAAATCAATCTTTTTTTTTTTTTTTCAAATTAAAAAAAATAAATAGTTAGGTAATTATATTAATATCTTTTTTAAATAAATTATTATAAATAAAAAATATAAATTAGAAAATTCTATATTAAAATTTAATAAATAATGATTATTATATATTAAATAAAATCCAAAAAATTTAATTAACTAATATATATAAAATCTATAATTTAAATAAATGTCTTATTAAAATCAAACCTTATTTATCAATTATAAATTTTAAATTATTTAAAGAAATTAAAGTTATCTATTTTTAATGCTTTAAATTTCCTATTAAATTATTTTAAATTATATTTTATTTTAAGCAAATTAATTTTAAATATCTACTATTTCTTTAAAAAAACTATCTTTTTTTTACATATTATTAAAAAATGTTAATTTTTCATTGAATTCATAATGAATTTTTTCTAATTTTTTAATAATATTTTCATAATTTTCTTATATAATTTATTTTCCCCCAATATTTTTTTAGAATAAGTCAATTTTATTATTAATTATTTCAGATTTTTATACAAAATCACTCATATAATTTTGAACTAAAAATATATTTTTTTCGAATAAAGTTTCGCTATTTTTTACATGTTAAGAAATTTCATTTTCCAAATATTATATTTTTATAAATAAATTATTCAAAAGATTATCTTCATTTTCTTCATAGAAAAATTTGTTTTTATTTTTACATAATTTTCCATTTAATAAATTCTCAATATTGATAATTCTTTCTTCAAACTAATTTATTTTTACTTCCATTTTTTATAAAATATATAATACATTATTACTAATTTATACACTTTCAAAAGTTTTTAACTTTCCTTAAAAACTATTTTTTAATTTTGAATCAAATTAATTTAATATTAAATTTCCTCCAAATTCAGCTGATTATCCTATATTGTAGTCTATAGTTGATTATAAATTAATTTTTTCTGGCATAAATAAAGAATATTAATTAGGTTCTTCGTTAATTTAAAATTATTAATCTTAGTATGTTTAAAATGTTTATAAAATACTACTTAAAAAAAATAAAAAAAAATATATATATGTAAATATATATATATATATATATATAAATACTCATTAAAACTATTATTTAAATTCCTATCTTTTATATTTTTTCTTAGCATTATTATTAAAAGAAGGTAAATTTATTAAATCTAAAGCGAAATTATTTTATTCACTAAAATAAATACTTTTTAATTTCTATGTTTTCAGTATAATATTAACAATTTGTTTCCGAATTTGATTTGCTGTCATATACATCATCAAATTATAATGTATTATTTTGTGATTTTTTGAATATTTTAAAACCATTTTTTTATTTAATGTTTTTAAAGCCTTTCTTTTTTTTAAATATTTTTTTTAATATTTATATATATATATATATATATATTTATATTAATTAGGTTTATATAAATTATATATACTGCCAGTATTATTTAAGCTGCTTGTTCTTTTTTATCTCGTTTATGATGATGCTAAATAACTTTATGAATATCTATTACTATATGAATTATAATCTTCTTATATAATATTAATTATATTATTCATTTTTTTTGTTTTAAATATTTTTTTTGAATTTTTCTAAATATATATATTTTTTGATTTTTTTTAAAAAAAATAAATAATTAGAAATGTTTAAATAAGGCTTTCAAATACATTTTTTTTTTTTAATAATAAAAAAAAAAACATAAATATAAAATAAAAGAAAAGAAAAAATAATAATTAAATGAGTGTTGCCTTCCTCCCTTTATAATAATAATAAAAAATTAAAGGGCAGTCGCTAACGCCGAACTATAGACTAAATAAGCATTAGCCAAACACTTTTAAAAACATTTAAAAATAATTTTAATTTTTCTTTTATCTTAATTTTTTTTCTTCAAAAAACACCAAACTCAATTAGAAATTTAATCAAAAGTGAAAACTCTAATAACACCATCTGAAAAACCAGCAAAAAGTGTCTTTCCTAAAGCATTCCAAGCCAAAGATACACAAGATGGGATTTTGCTTTCTACAATTTAAAAATAAATTATATAAAATGAATAAAAAATAATTTTTATATTATTTACTTTTTCCTTCAACTTTAGCAATAGGTTCAGCTTCAATAGTATAAACAAGTTTTCTTTTCATAAGATCATAAATATTAACTCCTTTATTAGTACCAACAGCAGCCCAATATAATTTAGGATTGAAAGCAATTTAGTTAATATTAGCGCCAGCATCAAATTCAACTGAAGGATATTATAAGTTTTATAAGTCCCAGACATATACTTTTTAATCTTTACCACCTGTAGCAATATATTTTCCATTAGGGGAAACACTTAAAGAGTTGACATTAGATTCGTGGGCCTTAAAACTGTATCTGATTTAGAAATTGGTGTTCCAAATTTTTAGTCTACCATCCCAACCTACTGAGGCAAAATAAGGGGCGAAAGTTTAGACTTTGTTAGTGGATTTGATAATAGGGGAATATCTTACGCAAGAAACCCAGTCATTGTGGTTGTCTTTATCAGAAGTAAATTTACATTCGGCTCTAATGTTCCATAATTTAATTTCTCTGTCGGCACCTGCAGATAAAATTTATCTGTTATCAGGAGAAAAGGATACGGAGAATACTTCAGATGTATGTCCGACGAATCTATTGTAGGTCTTACCTGTTCTTAAGTCCCATAATCTTAAAGTCTTGTCCCAAGAAGCGGATAAGGCGAAACAGTTTTCTTAAGATAAAGCTAAGTCACTGACAAAATGGTTATGACCAGTTAAGGATTTGTGGGGAACACCAAATAATCCATCTTATTCATTTTCGAATAATTTCCATATCATTACAGTTTTATCTCTTGATCCGGATATTAATACACTGGAGTCTTCATTTTCTTTTTAAGAAAAACCGGAAACTATGGATGTTACCCAGTCGGAGTGACCTTAAAGGATACCTCTTTTGACTAATTGGAATTCAGGTTGTTTTTATTATTCAGCCATTTGTTTTTTGTTTTTTTTGATTTTTTTGATTTTAATATAATAATTTTATATATAAATGTATATATATATATATATATATATTGTATTTATATAAATTAAATATTAATTTTTAATTATTTATTATTTTTTCTTTATAAATACAGTTTTTTATTTAATTTTTTATTTATTTTTTCCTTTTAATTTTAGATTATTTTATTTTCATCTTTATTTTTATATATAAAAATGATAAATTATAAATATTTTTTGCTAATATTAATATTTATTTTAAAATAAAAATTAAAGTATTAATTATGATTCATTTTATAAAAAAATTAAATGACTAAATTAAATTTATAAATATTTTTAATTTAAATTTTAAATATATTTTTTTTTTTAGAAATAAAAATATCTTTATAACTATGAAAATTAATAAAATAAAAAAATATATTTTTTTATTTTATTTTTTTTAAAAAAAAAACATAAACTATTTTTTGAAAAAATTAATAAATTAAAAATATATATATATATATATACAAATATAAATTTAATTAATATATGCAATTTTTAATAATTAAAAAAACAAAAATAATATACGAATTCAATTTATATCTAAGTTATCTAATAAATTATCATCATTTTAAAAATCTTAATTAATTTTTTAATAAAGCTTTTTTTATCCTTCTTAATATTCTAATTTTTGTTAAAAATTAAATTATTCATCATACTCTAATGGTTCTTAATAATCTAATTATTATTAATAACTTAATTCTTACTAATAATCTAATAAATTATGAATGTTTTAATTTTAAAAGCTTATTTCTTCTTAATCATCTAATAAATTGAAGTCTTAATTTACTTCATTTTCAATTTTTTTTTCGAATTAAATTATTTAATTTATATCATTTTAAACGCGTTTTTTTATTTAATTATTATTTCCTTCTTATTCTTCATCTTTTATTAAATTATCGAAATTCATGAAACTTATTTTTTTTATTTTCCTTATATTTGTTTCGAAACAGTTTATTAATCATATTTTTATTCGTTTTCTTTTTTTTAAAGCATACTACTTTTTAAAATTCCATTACACTTTTCAGGAATTTTTTATTATTCTTTTAAATTTTGAATGTCATTTTAGAGGTTTATTAGTTATTGTTGTAAAGTCTATATTTCTTAATCATTTAGTTTATCTTTATCAATTAATTTTAGTAATTTAGATTCATAAAATTATATTTTGTCAATTATATATAGTTGTGCATCTTAAATACTTAAATTTTAATTTTTCATTAAAATAAAATTAAAACTATTTAAAAATAATGAATATAAATTTTATTTTATATATATATATATATAAATATTGTATTTTTTTTATATATTATGTTTATTTATATAATTTTTTATATTTTTAAGTTTTCCGTATATTCTTGAGATTATATTTGAATATTTATATAAATTTAAATATATATGGCTTTTATTTTCTAGTTTTAAAGGAGAATATCACAATATTTTATATAATTTATTTAAAATTAAAAGAAAGAAATATTAATGTATATTTTATATATAAAATGAAGGTATATTTATAATTTTTTTAAAAAAACTCATTTTTAAAAAAATTAAAAAAAAAAAGAATAAATGATTCTTTTTATTATTTTTATTTATGATATTATTTTTAATAAAAAATAAATACAAAATAAACCTTATATAAATTGATTTTTTGTGAAAAAATATAAAAAATTAATATATTTTAAGATTTTATACGGAATCATGTAATAGATTTAGTATAGTTTATTTTTAATTTAACAATAAAGTTTAGATATAATGAATATTTATTTCAAAAAATAAATAAATAATGATTTTTTAAAATTATTTATATAATAATAATATAATATTTCACATGTTTTAATACAAACACAAATAAAAATAATTAGAAAAAAAAAATTATATAAAAAAATACTTTAAATTAATTTTAAATATATATATATGTAATGTAATTTATTTAAAGTATAAAAAACACTTAATGAAAAACTTATTTAAGTTTAACATTAAAGTAATAAATGATATTAATATTTATGAAAATAAAAATATAAAAAAAATAATGTAAAAGATTAAAAAATATAAAAAAAATAATATATAAGATAATGAAATGTATATATTAATATTTTAATTTAAAATATATAATATTAAAAAAAATATATTATAAGGAAAAACAAAATATATAATTTTTTTTATTAAAATAATAAATAAGGAATATAAAATTAAAAATTAATATATAATATATACTATATTATATATATGTATAAATCTATTATAAATCAAAAAAAAAATAAAAAATTATATAATAAACAATGGAAAAAATAATTATAAAAAATTTAATTATAATATATCTATAATATATGCAAATATAATTAATATGATAAAAATAAAAATATTTTTAATAGATTTAATATATATAATAAATGTATATTATAAAAAAATAAATATATAAAATATTATTTAAATATAAATATATATATATATATATATATATTTATATATAAAAATCTATATAATTATATATTTATCAAAATAAATATATTAATATTATTTATTATTAATATAAATAATTTTTTTATTTAAATTACTTATATTTTTTAATATTATTATAAAAATTGTTTTTAATTAATTTAAATTTTTTTTTTTTTTTTTTTATTATATAATATTTTTTTTATATATATTTTTTTTTTTTTTTTATATATATTTATCAAAAAATAAAAATATAAATATTTAATATTAACATCTTTTATAAATAAGAAATAAATGCCTTTTAAAAATTCTTTTGTTTAATTATATATCTCACTTTTTATTTTATATATTCTCCATCTTATTTTTATATCATTTTAATTTAAATAAAATTATTTAAATCTTTTCATATTTTTATATTAATTCTTAAATAATATTTTTTATTTTTTAATAAACATAATATTATATTCATTTTTTATTATATTATTTAAAAAAAAATATATGTAGAAGTAATTTAATTTTTATATTTAATTATTCTTTTTATAAATAAAATTATTTATATTTTATTATATTTAAAATTTTAAGTTTAATATTAGTTTAAAATAATAAACAAAATAAAATTTACATTAAAAAATATAAATAATTTAAAAATTAAAAATAAAAAAATAAACATATATAAATAAAATATATGTATTTTTATTAATATTAATAATAATTACTTATTTAGTAATTTTTTTTTTTAATTTTTATTTTTCAACAAAGTTTTAATATATTATATATAAAAGTGAGTCAGAGAGGAAAAAAAACTCAAAAATCGCCTTAAAAATTTATATTTTATTTTATTATTTACATTCTTCTAATAACCTCATCTTTCGAAATTAGATTTCCTTTCTAAAGCCATTAATCATTAAAAATATCTTATAAAGAAAATCTTTCATCTGGATTAAACTCAAGCATTCCATTAATTAAGCAAATAAATTCTATCGAGTAACACTTATTAAATTTAGCTTAAATAACATTCCAATATAAATCTTTTTCATTTTCCGCAAAATACTTATAATAAGGATCATTTATCGCTGCTTTTTAATAATAAGGTGGAAATCCGCTCACCATACAAAACAAAATCACTCCTAAAGCAAAAATATCGACCTTAAATCCATTATAAGGAATTTTATGTATAATTTCAGGTGCAGCATAGCTTTTTGTTCCTACAAAATAATTAAGATTTTTTTCGTTATAATTTTCCTAATTACATGACATCCCAAAATCCACTAATTTTATATTAAAAAATTCATCCAAAAGTATATTCTCGGGTTTTATATCTCTATGACAGTAACCACTGGAATGTAAAAACTCGAGAACATTCAAAATTTGGGAAAAGTAGAATCTTGCTAAATCTTCATCAAATAAATAACTCTATTGGCTAATATAATAATATAATTCGCCATTTATAGAATATTCCATTACTATATTTTAATAATCGTAATAATATAATTTTGGTATATAGGGATTGTTGCCTATGTCTTCGAGAACTTTTATTTCATTATCATATGTGTATTTTGTTTCGGGTTTTTGACGTTTTAACGCGTAGTGCTTTTTGTTGTATTTATGTTGGACTAAATATACTAATGATGTTATTCCTTAGCCAATTAGTTCAATTATTTTTAAATCTTCGAGTTAAATGTTTGAGAGCATTTTTTATTATTTTATATATGTGTATTTTTTTTATTTATTTATTTCTTTTCTTTTTTTTTTTTTTTTTTTTTTTTAGTTTTTTGATTTTGCCTTTTTTTTATTCAGTTTATTTTTATGAATTTAATTAAAAGTAATTATTAATTGAATTTTTTTTTATTTTATTTTTTCACTTTAATTCATTATATTTTATTAGCTTTCTATTCTGAGGTTAATTTTAATATAATGTTGTTAGCCATATATATATATATATATATATATATATATATATATATAAATGTAATTATTTTTTAATCTTATTTATAAGTTGTTATATATATATATAATTATAACAAATTTTAAATTTAATTATATTATATGTTCAATATATTCTAAAAATATTAGTAATTTATCGAAATTTATTATAAACTTTAATTATTTATACAAACAAATAAAAATATAATTAAATTATTTGTTACTTTATTTAATTTATTTTAATCGTATAACTTTATTTAATAAAAATATTAAAGGAATAATAAAAATATTAAAAAGAATAAAAATAATTAGGTAATTTTTTTATATTGAAAAAAAAATAAAAAAATTTCAAATTATTCATTAAATAAAAAATAATTATTTTCACCATAAAAAAAAAAAATATAAGATTATATCGCTTTTTTGAAAATTAAATAAAAAAATAATTAAATAGAACTAATTATAATAAAATTTATTAATATTTAATTATAAATTCATAATTAAAATATTAATTTTTTTTTTTTATTTTAATGTTATTTTAAATTTGTCATATATTTAAATAAATAATATTTTTTTAAATTAGTTTATTTATATTTATTAAAAAAGACAATAATAACTAGTAAAGAATTTCAAAAATAAATATATATAATAAATAATACTATACACATAATATAAATTTAAGTCATTATTTATTTATTTTTTAAATAAAACAAAAAAAAATTAAATCATTTTTTTTTCTTATTTGGAGAAGGTTAATCTTTTTTTCTAGGAAGAACAACTAAATCATTTACGGAATCAATTTTTCTTTTATTTTAATTATTAATAGTGTTAATTTTTTATTATATAGTACCAATTCTATATTTTGTTTAGTTAATATCAAATTAAAGTTAGAAATTCTTTTTTTAAATAATTTCATTTTATGTTTAAACTTCATTTAATTAATCTTTTAATATTTTTAAAGAATTTTCGTTATTTTGCAAATTCTGTTCTTTAAGTTTATTACTTTACTTAATCTTTTTATTAAAAGCGAAAATTTATTTTTACATTTATTCAATATCATTAAAAACTTAATTTGAATTGTTTTAAATTTATAAAATCTCTTAGTTTAAATTTTATTCTATATATTAATTCTCGTTTATAATTTATAAGGCTTATTATTTTATTTCTTCATATTACTATAATAAGATTTAAATGTTTTATTAACTTTCTTCTTTATTTTTTGAAACTTCTTATTCATTTTTATATATTTATTAATATTATTCTTATTCTTTATTATTTAACTCTTCATGAAATGTTTATAAACCTTTCTATAAAAGTTCTTAAGATTGTATATAAGTTAGCTTTTATTTTAAATGAGGCTATATTTTTTCATAATTGTGTTTTTGATTTTATTTCAAATAATTGCGGATATCTTTTATATAATCTAGTCTTATTAAATTCAATTATAAATCAATCTTTTATATTTTCATGTTTTACTTTAATACTTTAATTAAAGATTCTCCTGATAAATCTCCTAATAAATTTTACTTTAAATTTAATTGTTATAAAGTAGGATGATATTATATTGCTTTTGCTTTTTTATATTTTTTTTAAAAAATACAATATTAATATATATTAATAAATATATGAATTTTTTTTAAAAAAAATGTATTATATATTCATATTAAAATATATAATTAATATAATTAATATTAAAAAAATATAAATTAATATATATATGATATTTATATAAATATATATATATATTTAAATAATATATATATATTTAATTTTTTATATATATTTATTTTTATAAATATAAATATATTTTTATATAAATAATACCTAATAATACTCCACCTTTATCATTTATCATACATTTTTATAAATTTAATTTTTTAAGATTAGTTTTATAATTATTTTATAAACTATTACATATTAATTCTACGGCTTTAAAAAAATAAATATAAAAAAATATAAATAAAACCTTCTAATTTTAAAAAGTTATTTTTCAAAGAAAGAACTTTCAAAGATTCATTTTTAAGAAGCCCTTAAGAAATTTATTTAATTACATTTAAAGAAAGGTGAGTATTATTTAAACTTAAAAAAATAATATTTACATTTTGTATAAGAAAATTTTAAATGTTTAAAATTTTTTCATCAAAAATATTTTTGTCAAGCCAAAGTTTTTATAAAAATGTATTTTTTGAGAAAATTTAAAAGAAAAAATCAATTCCTTTAGAGGAAATTTTATTATTACTTAAATTTAAATTTTAAATACAGCAATTATTTTTAGTTTAATTTTATATTTTTTCACAAAACTATATAATACATTCATCTCCTAATTAATTTCCTTCCAAATCTAAGTCTTTTATATTTTAATTATCTAATAATATACTCGAAATTAAAAGACCACATTCACTACATAAATTATTATAAGACAAATCTAAAAAAACCAAACTTTGATTTACTTTTATTCCTTTATTTAATTCCAAAAGTCCTTAAATTCCAATAAAACAATAAGAAAGTTTCAAGAACTATAAAGTTTAATTTTAGACAAGTATTTATTATAAATAAAGACATCCTTTAATTTAGATTTTATTTCTATTAAAACCTGTATTTGACGATAAATCAATGGAAATGATATTTTGATTTTTTAGAAGAAGTTATTTAATAGATTAGACACCTTCACATGTTATATTATTATTGGAGAAATCTAAATAAATAATAGAATTTTTTTAAGTATTTTATTATTAAAAAAAATTGCATAAAATTTACACTCCCTTATCTCCTAAATTATTTTTTCCTAGAAATAAATGAGTAAAATAATCTTAAAAGGAAAAAATTTTAGTCAAATAAAAAGCACTCTCTTACCCGAAATTTTAATCATTTAAAATTAATTTTCTATGTCTACATTCATTTTTAATTCTATTTAAAAAAATCTCATATTATTATTATTAAAAAGGAATTTTATTATCTTTACATTTTGCTATATATAAGTTTTTTATTTATTCTAAAGTTAAACTATGTATTTTTTTCTCAACTTTTTTTTAATTTAATTATACAGAGTTATATAGAGAGTATTTTGATGAAGAAAGTCGTTATAAATAATTTCTTTAATTTAAAGGACTAGTTATATATGTTTAAGGAAAAAAAATAGATTGCCTTTAAGATTAGATTTTCGAAGTTGAAGCGGTATTTGTGAATCGTTGTTAAGATAATAAACGAGGACGATCTATTTATTCTAAAGTTAAGGTTTTATTAAATTTTATGTTTTACATTTATATTAATTTTATTATTTTATATATAAATAAAATAATTATTTTATAAAAAATACAAAATAATTTTTTTATTTTTAATAATGATGTTATTATATTATTTATATTAATATAAAGTTCTATATATATATAAATATATATATATATATATATATATATATATATATATATATATATATATAATATATATATATATAT